TATTTAAATCGTATTGGCTATCGCTACAGCCAGCAGTAACGCGATTTTCACCATCACCATTGCAAATATATCAGATTTATAACTGGGTCATTCCACCGGGTTGGGGAACAATGTGTGACATATGACCATATTAAGAAAAGCATGAATGCCTTGCTAGCAGTTGCTCTACATAACATTTGTTGTTGGGTGTTTCACTACTGCAGAAAGTTTTACATCGTTTCAATGTATTTTGCAAAAAATATGAGCAATACCCAAATTCACTTAATACGTACTTCTTACTATACATATGCAACGCAATATTAATTAACCCTAACCCACCTCACTCCTCCAAAATCCTCCTGGCGGTTTTGGAGGATTCTAGAGGATTGAGGATGAATGGTGATTGAATCAAATGAGGATTCTGGAGGATTGAGGATGAATGGTGATTGAAGCACATGAGGATTTTGGAGGATTGAGGATGAATGGTGAATGAAGCACAAGAGGATTTTGGAGGATTGAGGATGAATGCATTTTGAGGCAGAACTGTCTGATGATTTTGAAGGATTTGGCGTTGGTTATCCTTCATTTAAACACGAGTGCAAAGTTTTGGGATGAGGAGGATTTTGGAGGATTGAGGATGAATGCATTTTGAGGCAGGACTGTCTGACAATTTTGAAAAATTTAGGCGGAGTTGAAAAATTTTGGAGGATTTTGGAGGATTGAGGATGGTTGTAAGCAACAAGGGCCTAGGGGGTTAGGGTTAAGAAAAGCTTTTGTTATGGTAGTCAGGTATCAAATGGAGCAGAAATGATAGCTTGGTTGTAGACGTAACATTCACACAGTGTCAACCCCCACACTTCCATCCAGTGATTTTGACACCGTTACGTCCACATTAAGGATATTGTTTAACTGCTATATTTGAACCCTGACTATACCAAAACAAAAACTTTTCTTGGTGCATTAGGTGTGCAGTTAATAAATATGCAATGTCAGTTTAGGTAATTTTTTACATACCATACGTGTAAAAATTGGCAAAAAAAGAGAATATTTGGATGTAACATTGACACGGTGTCAATGTTGTTTACGTCCGAATTAATACATTTTTGCTCATATTTTCGTTAAAGTACATTCAAATGATTTCAAACTTTCTCAATTATTAAAACACCCTAAGTCTAAGACAAATATTATGTTGAGCAATTGTTAAGAATGCATTGAAAATTTTAATAATATAACCAAATATTTTGATGTAACATTAAAATACCTTGGAGAGTTGATGGTTTCTGATTGGTCGAGACTCGATCACGTGGCCGGGCATTAACGGTGATAATGGACCGGCTTCAAAGATCAAGCGGTAGATACTTCGGTAGCTCGATTGGTTACACTTACCGGTACAGTTACACGTTCAACTACTGAGTGACTGTGCCAGTGATGCGGGTTTGAAATCGCTGCCACGTTGCAGGTTCGAAATCGCTGCTGCATTCGCTGGTTTTCTAAGCCGCTTAATACTGCCATGACTGCTGGGTCCAAGCACAGTTTAAGAATAAGATAATCGATAACTCTCCCCAGGTTTTATTTCATATTTTTGTGAAGTTACAAGTCACATGGTAGCTGGAGTTACCCAGCCCTGAGTTTTATCATTGGGTTGTCATCTAGGGCTGGAGCGAGTTTTTCTCGTAACTTGTAGTATAGGCAAACATTTTTGGAAAATGTTCAATTTTGTCCCCGTTACACACTAATTGCAACTGCAACTCACCCCAAACTTGCCTGGAATAACCATTACACAGGTCCTTGAAGTAAAAAATGATCCACGATGAAGATTCAGCCTACAATTGCATTGAAAACAGGAGGAATAACCGCTAACCTGACAACCTTGCTAGCATGGCCAGGACCGCAATTGGTTTGTGCACAAAAAAAATTGTGTACAATGAATGGCGGTCGATTAACAGGCACAGAGAGCGATCGCTGTCAACTACTCGTTTTTGCCGGCTGCGCTGACGTCACGCGGAAGCGTAACACCCGATGACTGTTTTATGCACTAATATAACTTTTATAAGGTTTACCACTCGCATCACAGCTTTGGTACTGGAACCACAACCAAGGACCTGTGTAATGGTTATTCCAGGCAAGTTTGGGGTGAGTTGCAGTTGCAATTAGTGTGTAACGGGGACAAAATTGAACATTTTCCAAAATTTTTTGCCTATACTACAAGTTACGAGAAAAACTCGCTCCAGCCCTAGATGACAACCCAATGATAAAACTCAGGGCTGGGTAACTCCAGGGTATCAGGTCAACTCGGACCCAAACCAAGTCGGACCCATGCCAACTCGGACCCATGCCAACTCGGACCCACGCCAACTCGGACCCACTACCAACTCGGACCCACTACCAACTCGGACCCATTACCAACTCGGACCCACTACCAACTCGGACCCAAGCATGACCAACTCGGACCCAACAATGACTCAATCATTAGTTTCAGAGATTATATTTGTAGGTCATTTTAATTAATCCTGTTAAAGGGAATATACATCATTTGCTTTTGCTGTAATTTTCAGAAATGGATGGAATTGGGGGGTTGGAAATATATATAGCAAATATAGCTACACTGACTTTTTTGAGGTTTTGGGTTCGAAAATGCTATAAAAACCAAGAAAAACGATCATTTTCTTGTAGTCTGGTTCCCTGACTCCATATTAGAAGAAACAGAGCAGTTTACATACATTGGGGAATTGTAAAGTCAGGGAACCAGTCTAGCTGGCTCGTACCCGTTCATAGGTTTGTAATCGATTGCAAACAAGTGCGATGGTCAATTGGGGCCAGTATTTGAAAAAAAAGCCAGTTGTTTCCAACGCTGATCGGCCGATCAGCGTTGGAAATTGATACAAAAATACCACTTTTCTTGAAAATGACAGTATACCAGGTGCCATAATTTTACAAGATGCTTTAGACTGTCATTTACCAACATCCTATTAAGGTATTTCGCAAAAACTTGGTAGTTTTATTTTTCGATGTTTGCAAATGTTGTATATTCCCTTTAATGTTACATTGTTATAGAGTGAAGATATTCTGCAATTATATTGGGCAGAATGGGGCTTTTAGTTTTGTTGTTTTCTTTTATATATTGCCGCTGTGTGGAGCGATATTTTATGATGCGTACACAGGAGTCTGTTGCTAAACGCTTATCGTTTTGAACGTCATGAAACTAAACGTGCTTAGCTTTTCCAAGAGATATTAGTAGCGTATAGTATAGGTTAGGCATTTCGCATGTCATTTGTTGATATATACGTGCTTTTTCAAAATCTTGATTTTCTTTTCCAAACGAAATTCAAAGGATTATAATTTAGGAGCGTCCTGCTAAGGTTGAAACTGATTAATAGATTACTTGTCATGGGCTGTTTTTTGTGTGTGCGATGACTCATTAGAAAGCTCATAACTAATGTAACGCTAATTATCAATTTCAATTTTTTCTTCTCGCATGACATCAAAGTCGATGCCTAATTGCTTCTTTTTATAGAAGGAAAATGACGCAGTCCTGCCAGGGGCATATTTACTGATATTTTAACTCCCCCCCCCCCCCGGAACACGGTGGAACATACAGGCAGCTACATGTACCTGTAAGGCCTTGAAGGATAATATTCCCAGAGCTCCAATACTCCTTTTTGATGATTGACATTGCATCTTTTTGTAGGGGATTGAACTTGATGTTTTTTAATTCACATGGTGGCTTTGAATTTTGTGGGTTTTTTTTACGAATCAGTTTAACTTTTTATACTTTTTTGATTTAACTTTTTTGTTTAATATGGAACCTTCGTTTTTCTTGCAGTGTATGCAATGGTGTATATGTGGGTTTTTTAAAATAGAGATTAGAACAGACTTCGTTTTTATATCTTATTTATTTTATTTTTTGACTTATAATGTTTACTTATATTTATTGAGTTAATAATGTTATGTTTGAAAGAGTTTATGGAATCAATGCCATACTTTTTTTTTCTATGAATATCTGTTCTGAATTTGTATATTTTGTTACGTTGAAGTTTGGATTAAAAATGAAATAAATTGCTGTTAAATTGAGCAAGATGGCGTGAGCGATGTCAATTATTATGTTTTAATGAAAATAAATAATTGGTTAAACTTTCAAAGCGCAATATGTTTTAATGGAAACAAATAATAATAATAATAAATAATTAATTACACTTTAAAGCGCATTTCAAAATAGCATTTCAATGTGCTTTACATCGACAAAAATGTTATGTAACTGCTGCAATACAGATAATTTTCCTTACAATTACAATGAAAATTTATACTTAACAGCATCACTGTAAACAGATGAGAAGTGGACAAACTTTATGAAATGCCGCATGATTGAAAACGATGTCGAATGATTGAAAACGATGGGTCCGAGTTGGTCATGCATGGGTCTGAGTTGGTCGTGGGTCCGAGTTGGTCGTGGGTCCGAGTTGGTAGTGGGTCCGAGTTGGCATGGGTCCGAGTTGGTAGTGGGTCCGAGATGGCATGGGTCCGAGTTGGCTTGGGTCCGAGTTGGTTTGGGTCCGAGTTGGATCGAAACCGAATAACTTTACATCTCCATCTCATCTCCATCTCCATTGTTTAAGTCAGCAAAATATCCTGCCGGATACATCAACGCTATCTTGCGCACTGCGTGTGGAAATAGACTACTGGTGGATATTACTGATATGTCCCTTGAATTCAGCTAGTGTTGCGCTGTTCACAGCAGCCGAGGAGAGTGAGTTCCAGTGTTTAACAGTTGACACGAAGAATGAATCTTTGAAGGCCCTAGCTTTGTGACTGACTTGAATGAATTTTTGGTTGTTTCCCCTTGTATCTCTGGTATTAGGCTGAACATAGTTGTGAAGTGGAATGTCGACCAACCCATTTTTCACATATGGCAACCATTTTTTACATATGGCAAGAAATATATTTCTTGCCATATGTAAGTTATTCTACCTGTCAAACACAAGTCACAATGCACTTGATAAAATTTTGAATAGTTTTTACTTTACCTCCAAAACTCTGTCCATGGAAGAGTACGTCGTCAGGTAGAATGTCGATGCGCAATGGTCCTTGTTCAGTTGTTGTTGATGTTGTTGCTGGTGGTTCATCAACAAAATGTGGTTCGATTAATTGCAATCATAGCAGATCAGCTTACCGCAAGTTGAATTTTCCCACGAGCATGACGAGGACGCATTTAGTGGAATTCAAACGGCATGTTTGCCAGCACACACAAACTGTTTCAAGCGTTTCCTAGAGAAGGCTTTTAACATTTCATATCTTCAAATCTCGTGAATTTTCTGCCCAGTGCAGTGAGTTTCTTCCATCGCGCGAATAGATGACAGAGCATAGCGCCCTCTATAATTGGATAAGGTGCATTCGAAGACACTCAGCAGCCTCTCTGATGAAGTAATGCATGTAGTACACGATTCAACTCACTGCAGTATCATCGCACCCCGGCCCACCGCCTGTCAGTGGCGGTTCTGGGGGGGGGGGGGGGGGGGGGGGGGGGGGGGGGGGGGGGGGGGGGGGGAGATCAGCTTACCCCCCCCAATTTTGTCTAGCCCCCCCCCAAAAAAAAACATTTGTGTACAATTTAAAGGGAAAATAGGACTACAACATTTGCAAACATCAAAAAACGAATTGATCAAATTATCACAAAATAAAAAAAAATGGATTGTTAGGGAATGACTGTATAAAGCATCCTGTAAAATCGTGGTTCCTGGCGTGCTGAAATTTTCAAGAAAACTTATATTTTTTTCAACGCTGGTTGGCAGACCAGCGTTGGAGAAAACTGGCTTTTCTTCAAAAACTGCTCCAAATAGTTATTTTTTTGCAAAGTTGATTACACACTTGTGAATGGGTACTATGAGCCTGCTACACAGATTCTTTGACCTTACAATTCCCCAAAGTCTACAAGTTGCTCCATTTCATCTTAAGTGGGGTCAGGGAACCAGACTACAAGAACATGGTTAGTTTTCTTGGATTTTCCAGCATCTCCAAACCCAAAACGTGAAGCAAGTCAGTTTAACAATATTTTCTGTAACACACTTATCCTCCAGATCCATTTATTTCTGAAAATTGCAAATGTTGTACATTCCCTTACAGTTATTATAGTGTGCCTGATTGTAGGATTTTATCAGCGCTCCCCATTGAAAATATGGCACGAGCCCCCCCCCCCCCTATTGATTTTCTGAGGCCTAAGCTATTGTCCGGAGAAAAGTCTACATTTCAGCACGCCCCTCCCCCCCCCAAAAAAAATGTTGGCTCTAGAACCGCGCCTGCCGCCTGTCATTTCATTAAGCGAACTTTTTTTTTCTTTGAACAAGGGTGTCCCTTCCTATTTCTATGGTTTTCATATATTGTTTGCCTAGTAAAGTAGGGTCAGTCGGTCGGAAAAATATAAACAATCTGAGGGAAAAGCTTGCAGTTTTTATATGCAAAATAAAAAATGTGGTATTCATTGTCAATAGCTTTTCAAATAACACAGGGCCTTATTGCCTGAATTTAATATTCATTCTTTCTCCTTATTTATTTTTTGAATGGGGTTGCAGACGGGGTCGGAAGTAATAAAAAAAAGTACCCTTTTTCCGTCCTTGGGTCGTGAGCCCAAAATAGGGTCGGTCGGAAATGAGGGCATACTGCATCTTGGCGAACTTGTGGCGATCTCACGGTCCACGTACGAAGTACCCAAGCTACCGTAGCTAAAAGCATATAATATAGCCTTGAACTTGGCTAGCTGCACAGTCCGGTCCACGATGACCAAAAAACGACGGTGCCCAGTGCCAGCAACTCTCTGGTGTCAGTTCAGGGGACCACTCTTGTGAAAGTCAAACGATATCTCTTTGAACTGGAACCAAATGCGCATTTCTTTACAACGGATAAAAACGATGAATTTAATTCTTTGATTCCGAATTAATGAATCTCAATGACGGAACAAAATGCGCACTAAAGAACTTACATTAAAAAATACCAAGAAATATAAAATTCAAGAAATATTTTTTCAATGTTTTTCAATGTTGTCCCCCTGTTGTATCGTGGGGCTGGACCTCTTTTGATGCTTGGAGGTAGTCTACGAATCGCCTTGAAAAAAAAAAAAGCATTTGGACACCCAATGTTTAAAAAGTTGATTCGTAGAGTCCTAATGGAGGGCACTCTTTTTTCTAATCAATCATTCACATTTCATAAAGCCTTAAGACGTCAAAAATAGTCGCCTATATTTCTCTTCTGTTTAACTACTCAAAAAGATACTTAAAAAAAAGGACACTTCCTTGGCAAGCGGCAATTTTGTGTGTGTGGGCGTGTGTGGGCCTGTGGGGGAAGGGGGTAATAAGACCCCCCCCCCCCCCCCCCTCGCCATCAGACCGTGGAGGTAGAGCTAGGAATTAGACGGTCAGACCGCCAGCGCGGGGAACCCATGTTCTACCCGGCCCCCGGTTTGTATTTGTCCATACAAATTGGCCGATTGTTATTTTTGCGCATACCGGTACATTTGTATTTTTTTGTATAATTTTTGAATTGCATGTATGTCACTTTGTATTAAAAACAAACAAACATGCACCTTCATTTCTGTCAATCCAAAACATGGTTTTCTCGCATTGTTAATCAAGTAATGATTTCATTGTTGGGTGAACTCAAAAATAGCACAGATTGTTATCTTTAAGTTTGTCTCGTTCGTTTATGACTTGTTTATGTTCAGTTACTACAGTATTGTTTTCTGCCGTGTGACATGTTTAACTTTTAAATTTGGTGTGTGCACACCATACAGCTATACATGTACTTGTAAAATATTAATTTAAACCCAAACTGTCCTAAATCCTCAAATTTAAATATGATTGTCACACACACACCCTAGAGGGTTAATTTATAGCTCTACCATCAACACAATAGCAGGTGGAAAGGTTTTACTGTTGTATTGTTCTTATGGAATTCGGACATTACTAGTCAACATGAAGTTAAATCTGACAAAAGCTGACACTGCACTCAAGGGACAGGAACACCGATTACTTTATTCGGACCACACATAAATCAATTGCAATGATTTCAATGTTTTACAGTAAAAAAAATTATACACATCATGAGATGCAGACTATGGCTAAAGAAAAGAAAAAAATACATGTACAGTTAAAAACACACATCATTTGAATATCAGAATTATCCCCTTGTCATAAAGAACAGACCACATCTGTTAGCTTCAAAGATGCACTTCGTTCCTGCTAATGCATCCATGAGATGTTTTGTGCAATCCACAAGGCCAAAGCAAACAGTCATGATATAATGGTCATAGCAAACACTTCCAGGCTTACCATGCTTGTTGCTTTACAGGCGCGATCCAATTTTGTATCATACACACACACACACACATACTGGAATTTGTATCCATGTGGAGTCATTTCTTTAATTTGTTCTTGTGTACTAAAGTTTTCGAGTTTGAAAGAGTACTTTCAAAATATTCCTTTCTTAACCAGAATTAATTTCCTGAAAATTCGGACTTAATATCCCTTTACATAAAATACTTCAATTCGCGACAAATCAACACACCTTGGAAACTCCTAGTTTTTGAGTAAAATCCAGATATCTATTTCATAGTTATAAACTTGTGCAGACGTATTCACCTATATATAGAAATTGCTCTGTGGAGACATATACAATCTTTTGTTCCCTATGGTGCACGTCTCCACAGGGTACCGTGTACCAGATCACTGCAATTAGCAGAATGTGTTGCATTTGCAGTCGTCGAAAGTATTCTGTCAGAAATGTTAGCTTTATTGCAGCAAATTCTCTATGAATTTTGACAAATGTCTTGTTTGTTCAATTTCCCAGCTAGGTAGGGCTCTAGACTTGGAATTTGTTCAAAATTATTATCATGGGGGCCTCATGACATGACTTCCTCCAAATTGGCAAATTTAAAAACAAACTGTAGAAAACATCTGACATAGTTTTTGTAATTTTGAGGGGATTTGTTTTTACTTTATAACAAAAAAAAATTCTCAAACGTTGTTTGCTATAACAAGAATTATACACTTTGATCTTGATTGAGGTGTTTAAGCCCTCCCTGAATCCGACTTAATTCTAAATGCTCAAACAAATAGACACGAGTAACATTCAAACATCAATTTGGAAATCAGTACGTGTATTCACATTGAAACTTACAAGGTGATGAATGCTACTTTTGTCATTTTAACAAATTACAAATTTCATAGATTAGGCTAAAAAAAGTTCTCCAAACAAAATATGGATTTTACACAGCATTAAGAATACGATTACAAAATTAAAACAATCACCTGCTATGTCATGACACAGACACCATAAAATAAAAACTCAAAGTAATCCCTGCAATACTAATATTCAGGTACTTCATCCCCTTTCGATCAGCCACCGATTCTTATAAATTTCTAACAATATTGCAAACAAACCAAAACATTGCAAAGGCAGTTGACATTTCAATCACTTATTACATGTATATACAATACATTGGCACAAAAATCATTTGCAGCATTAATTTAGTCGGAGAGAAACAATACAGATCTCTCAAATTATCAGGCATTATAAATGAGTTATATAATACAATACAATACAATGATGACAAGCATGTAAGGTGCCAATACACATATACCTGTCCTGGAGTTGTAGGGACTACACATGAGCTGCTCCACGGATTTGTGGGGAACAAAATTAAGGACACTTGAAAATCCCCACAACTCTGTTCAACTTTTGTGAACAACAGTAACTCCTCATTTAACGGAACTTTGTGTATATGTGTACATGTAGAATAGGAGTAACTTTTGGCAAATATTTAAGTGCTTTGGATCGAGTGTGATAGAGCTACAACACTTGAATGAACAAGTTGGGTACATACACAGGCAACATTGCTAGTTCAAACATCTGCAAAAGCATTGATTATAAAGAAGAAAGCAATGTTGATCTGATTAATATTTAATAACAAGTAAAAAAAAGAGTAAAGTCTGTCTTGAGCCAATGTGGTCCATCAGGCCGGCGTTTATCTCCAATTTCAGTAGCATGCAACAACAGAGAATATTTCTACTCCCCCGGGATGGGATGCTAGTCCATCCCAGGTTACTCCCCAGCTAATGCCGGTACCCATTTATACTCCTGGGTGGAGAGAGGCAAGTGGGGTGAAGTGGCCTGCCCAACATATTACCAGCCGCTGGATTCGAACCCCTGACCCTCTGATCATGAGTCACGAACCCTAACCACTAGGCCACACTCCCCACCAATAGTTAACAAAGCCCACCATAAACAATGGGTCACCACTTTTGTACACAAGTTTCATACCACCACGGTCATTACATATGTGGCAAAACATGAGTGAACATTACACTTTTCTTTACCTTATTTCTAATTATTAAAATTACATAATAAATATACGGTAGCAAACAAAGTGAACATTGACAATGGCAACACAGCGATTCATACTTCAGCATGCAGTGTCTGAGGCTGTTCATGATCTGTGTTCAAACAGCTGTTCAGAACCGCTCCTTTGTTCATTATCATCATGTTCCTACTTGCCTGTAATGAGCCATTTGCAATACAATCTGGAATGCTGACTTAATCCCATGCTTTGCATGTTTAACTTTGCATTCTCTCGTCCAAAGATTCGGGGCCAGCCTTATGCTAGCAACCACCAGCTCCGGCATGGTCTGGTGTCTTTGTGCCATTCTCACCCATTGTGAACAATGTATTGATGCTGATCGTCTCTTACGAACTATGCAAGAGCTTGCCGCGTATCATGTGATTTAATAGCAACAATGTCTTTGGTCTGGAGAATTCAAAGTTAAAATGTGCCAAGCATTCTGAGCAAGTCAGTGTACCAGAGGTTTTTCAAATGTAAATCCCAAAGGGTATAGGTCACTCACTAATGGCTTATTGTCAAAGATCTACACAGTACCTCCAGACAAGTGAGTTGGAGCAGCCGAAGACTGTCATGACTGCTGGGACTAAACTCAGTCTAGCATTGCCATCCCTCAAGCTTTGTTGCTGCAAAACAGCAATGACATCAATGTCAAATACATACATATCTTAAATAACAATGAATTTCAGAGCAATTTATCAGGTTACATGCCCATTCCATGCTTTACCAATAGACGTACACACACAATGTGATTACATATTAAACTTGACCGAGGTTTGTCATGAGAAGCACCATGTCTTTATGGTTATAGCAAGTTTAATCTTATCAATACCTGGTACCATGAAGTTCTACACTAAATTGGGAATACAATATAAAAAAAATGGAGAAAGCATAATACACTACCATTGACACTTGATAATTCATCAATCCTCCTCTAATTATTATAACTACCACAAACCGTCAAAAATCTAACCCCTACCTCTCTCAATAGCCTTGGTACAGGCTGGTCATCAACAACCAGAAATCCCTATACGGATTAAACCGTCAAAGTCTGTTGAAGTCTGTTGAAGTGATTTGATAGATAGGTTGCCCATTAATACTTGTACAGATTGTGTAGCAGCCTTTTTAACCTGTCAATTGTACCAACATGAGGCCAGTTTACAGACCTGTTAACTGTAACCTGTTAGAGTTACTCACTACTCTACAGCTTGTCACTGAGAGAGGGAGGTTTAAAGGGAATATACATCATTTGCTTTTGCTATTATTTTCAGAAATGGATGGATTTGGGGGGTTGGTAATATATAGCAAATTTTGTTACACTGACCTTTTTGACGTTTTGGGTTCGTAGATGCTATAAAAACCAAGAAAAACAATCATTTTCCTATAGTCTGGTTCCCTGACTCCATTTAAAACTAAACAGAGCAATTTATAGATTATTATTTATAATTTATGTAGTTGTGTTTTACTTACATTAAGTTAAGTATTTAAATAAAAAAATGATCATAAATAATCATAACTCATTACTGCATATATGACTCATTACTCTCAAAATGAATTCAAAGAAGGCTTGTAGTTCATTTTGTGAAAGGGGTTTGCATGAAACTGGGTTGATAAAAATGTTTGTCTTAACCGCTGTTTTTGTGCTGTCTGCATGTGTTCTTGTTTGGTGATTTTTCTCCCCATATAGGCATGTGCACAATTCAGACTGGTCTGAAGGTTTTTGTTGTTACCAATTCAGTACTACCGGGAGTCAACTATAAATAACATGTGCATTTGTACATGGCCATATAAATGCACAATGGACTCAAACTCAACAAACTTAGCATGAGCTTTGTCTCATGGGTGTGAATACAATGTACATACAGCACAGTGTTGGTTTCTTACTAGAGTACTATTTGGCCTATCAAGCTTGTCAATGATCCACCCATGACTGATTAGCTCTCATTGGGCCACTGCTAGCAAACTGCCATTATTTGGTGCCATTGGAGACTCTTGCAGCCTTGGGAGAACGTTTCTCAAGTGAGAAGACGTAGATATTAAAATGGTCTGCCAGCTGAACCACCTAGAAGAAAACAAAATATTGGTTAATGGTCTATTGTGAGTTTGATCTCCTCCTGACCGGCAACAACCAATATCCTTTGTAATTTATGGATGGTTAATTGTAGTGAGAATCAAGTTTTTGGATATGGCGCCCTCTGTTGAATGTTTATTGGAGATGGGCCACAAACAAACACACTGTACGTCACACGGCCATCATCTTCAGCAGCCATGTCAACTTTCGACACATTTTGATACCAAAATGTATTGACTGGGACCTTAATACAGACAAACTTTAAGGATGCAAGGAGGTAAATGTCGGGGTTCACCAAGCTTTAAGACAAATGTGGGCTTGTATGTGTTGAAATGATAAATGATTTTGACTTTAATAATTCTGAACGGATCGCTCTGTAAAAAAATTAATAATCTCCCCTGCCATGTCTTCAACACAGGCTAGTCACCAACAGTCGGGTCATATTTCAAGCTAGCACTGTGACTTGTCAAATTCAGTCAACAGACAAAAGCAGGCAAGTGGCAGGCACAACTAATCAGTGTTGTAGTCGAGACCGGATAGTCCGAGACCAAGACCAAGACCGAGACCTGAGGCTGCGAGACCGAGACCGAGACCAACCCCTTCAAGGCGGACCGAGACCGAAATGGTCCGAGACCGAGACCGAGACCGAGACCGCTGATAATAAATAACAATAATCTAAATAAACAACAAGACACTAATTACAGCTGAACAGTCTGTCCTTGAGATGATGATGTTGATGGGGATGTGAAGGAAGTGATTGAAAGCTAGGAATCACTTGTACCTGCTTAATTGTGTCGTGCGAGTGCTCTTAATGTTTGCTTCCAACCATAAATTACAACATGGCAACAGAATTTGTTATTGTCACAATTAATTACAAAAATTGGAAACAACCTAATTTAAACATGGGCAAAACCTAATTTGATGAACTCCATATATTGTTGCCACTTTTTTAAAAATATCCCTTTGTAAAATATTGTTTAACTACTATAAAGTGTAAATCTGATGAAGAAACTCTAACTTAGGAGTACGACAATTTTTGCTAGTTTTTTGCAATGTTGAAAGTTGACAAAAGTAAAAAGTTAAAGGTAGATGTTTCATCTGTTATAGGAACTCGGACCCTATACTCCAGAGCCAGCCCCTTGGTTTCAGCTATGACTACTAACGGATTGGACCTCCTTGTAAACCTGATTTCAAAAAAACAATTTGGAGCAAGAAAACATTGATTTATTTTTAAAAATTTCAGTCATGGAATATAGACTTGTACATGTAGACCCTGAAGTTGAGAGGTGGTAGCCAGATATGGATTTTTTTCTGACTGGTATTTTGCTTTTTGAGGAATAATGGGGTACTTCAAATGAGCAGCCAGCCAATCGAGTCTTATCATTCACTCTCATGGCAACAGCAAGTGGTAACTGGTAAGAGTGTGTGAATTCATTGCTGGAAAATCAGGTAGAAAAATGTACCCTTTCTCCAAAATACTATCCCAAATTAAAGAGAAGATTGGGGTCGAAAATGTCACTAATTTGGAGCACCTCATTTATTTTAAAAATAAAAAAATACTTAAGTTAACGTCCACAGGGGTGGGCTAATAAACTATTCAATCCCCGAAAATGGTTGGCCCTTATTGCATAAATCGGTACTTGCTTTGCTTTTTGTGCGCGACTCAAATTTGAACATTTTGGCTGGTCTCGACTCGAGACCAGCCAAAATATCGAGACCAAAGGGGACCGAGACCGAGACCAAGACCGAGACCACAGCTCCTGAGATCGAGACCGAGACCAGCAAAAAGTGGTCTCGAGACCGAGACCGGTCTCGAGATCTACAACACTGCAACTAATTATCACATCTACAGTCAAAGCATAGCTTTATCAAGTTACATAAACAAGCACAGCCAGTCAATCCTGCCTTATGTAGGCTGGGAGCTCTTAATCATTAAAAACAGTCACTGGGTTGATTTTGACTGAAAGGACAACTTTGCACAGAATGAAGGTTTGCATTGGAGGGTTAAAATTTGCTCATACCCCCTGCCCTGCAAACAGGACACTGGGAAGGGCTGATGGATTCACGCTCTAATTGGACAGATTTTGCGTGACCTGCAAGTCATCACGGCCACGACTGTGCAAGGTTCTAAACGGCCGTTAGGACCGAGTAATCACTCTTTTATTCCCATTCAGGAATTTTATTTTTGACAAGCGTAATAATGTAGGAAAATCTGTAAAACTTAACTGTTTTATAAATTTTCAATTCACGTCACTTGCTCAGGCTTCGTTTCGAATTCACGATGGGTCAAATTGCATATTATGTGACGCTCCAAAAATTTGTCCACATGGTCCGCAATGAAAACAAAATCACATCTGGTATGGAATGTGTGCATTTGTATGGGAAAGTTTTCGGATAGCATTTGCACGCATTAGCTAACCGCGGTCTTAAACAGCTGCAGCCAGATGTCTTCATAATAGGTCATGATAAGATACCCAGAATGCCATCCCCACTTCCTTCATAAGATACTTTGAAGCTCATCAGCCCATCCCAGTGCCCTGTTTGCCGGGCGGGGGCACGAGCGAAAGGTTAAAAGTGTACTTACCACACTACATGCATAGTGAAAATGTAAGATCAGTGCAACAGCTGCCAGGCAGTACAGGAGATACAGCTCCAATGATCCCAGGTTAGTGCTTACAGATAGAGTGGCTACGATCATCAATGGCACTAGTAACCAATTGAAACACTTGGCTCTGGTCTCTGTCATCTGGCTAATAATTAGATGACACTACAAGACAAGTGACAAAACACAAACAAGGGGGATTCATTAGCATTTTGCTTAACCAATTAGCACCTGTATTACATATTGTATTAATTACAATGTATTGATTTCCTAATTAATCTGTGAAACCATTGCGGTGGGGCAGTCAAACAACGTAAAAGGTAGGGTGGTTTGGCAGGTTACAGTAATGGACCTTATTCACAAGGTGGCAATTCTTGCGTTCCCTGAATGCATTTCATCAATTGTTAGCTGTTGAATGGGATGGCACCAGACTATTTATGTAGCCTTAACTATTTTACTTTCATTTTTTTTTAAATCTGGCTTAAAACATTAGGGAATGTTTAATTACAAATTTTTAATTATTCATTAAAGCAGACTGGAATTATTTTGTAATGTACTTGCTTTCATTTCTCTGGCGCAAGTTTCAAAAATGAAGATTTTACCTCACTTTCAATTCAACATGGCCGACTCCTGAATACGGGGCACTGGTTAAACACTTGTTCTTAACTTTTTGCTGGGAGAACTGCTCTCCTTAGCAGCATGCCTAGAGATAAATGTCTTGTCAACATAGCGCGTGTACATATCTTCAAAGTCTTTTTGAAACTAAGTAATAAGTATACCAAACCAAGTAACATTACCATCTGAAGCCAACTAAGTTGTGATTTTTACACAAACTATATAAGTTCTGCCTCGAATCGCAAAATTATTAAGTCACTAAATAATCCCGCAAGGCCATTTCACACTAGACAAATCTCAGGGTTGACGCGGGTTGAAAACATGCAGCATTTCACACTTGAAAATGTTCAACCCTGCGCCAACCCTGAGATTGATCTAGCCACCCCGGGTAGAACTCAACCCTGCTCTAGACCAGGTTGACATTTTCAACTCGGGTTGAAACTCTTGGTAGTATCCAAGTAAAATACCCTCAGTGTATGTGTGAAATGATGCGGGGTTGAACACGGGTTTGAAAAATAAAAAAAATTCAACCCGGGCCGACACTGGGTTTGCCCAGGGTTGAGTTCAGCCCTGGTTGAGAGGCTCTGCTGTGAAAAGGACTCTTAATATACCGGTACATAATCTGCTCAGATCCATTCTTTGGCTGACACTTACACATATGTTAGACATGATGATGCCGACAGTAAGGCAGAAGATTCTGGGTTCCAACTGTAGAATATCAGTGGGAGACAGAAAGGCCCACAAGGAAGCTACAACGAACAGCAACACAGCTGGAATAGCAGGCTCCACAGCATGAAAGAATGAACGGTTCTTGCCTGTGCCATCTCTGTAGGATCTGTGGGCAATCATATCCAATACAATATATTATGTATGCCATTGATAACACTCGTGCTTAGTGGTCAATCAAGCTTTCACACTTATCAAATCACTGAGGTTTCTTTCTTGTTTTATGAATGTGCAAACACTCTTTAGAGGCCTCTTAGCCAAGCAGTTAGAGCATGGGGCTATGGAGTGGAAGGTTGGCGGTTCGAATCCCATTTGGGTCAAAACCTGGAAAACTCTCTCTGACGACCCAGCAGTAAAATGGGTACCTGCTTCGTTCAGGGAAGGTAAGACGGCGAGAGGAGAGGACTGGGCACTGCCACTCATATGCCGCGCCCAAGACACAGTGAACCTCCAACATCCCACTGCCCCTACGGCCAGTAACGGCTATGGGACCTTTACCTTTTTTAACCACTTTTACCAAAGGGTACAAATTGTATTACCTATGACAAAATAATAAAAGCAAGTATTCAATGTAAGAATCACATCATAGTCATTTGTTCACACTAAAAGCAAACCTAAAGCCTCTATCCCGAAGTAATGAAAGCACTCTGAACTCAGCATTGAAATCATCCCATGCTTTTCACAACTTACACATAAATGTTCCAGATGGTATTTGGCAAGGAAAGAACTACAGAACCACCTGTATGTGGAACACAAGATAAAAAGAATGAATTACTTGTGTCAATTTCGGGTGATTCACAATCCAGTGCGCCACCAAGAGTTTGCCACGGAGGGTTAATTTTTGCCAGTGCATTGCGGGAGATTGTTGACAAATTCGTAATGCGGGACATTTGAAACTGTTCGTTTTTCCGGTCCTTAGTTTTGTAAGCGTATGATTCAAGTTTCTGTTTGCCATTTTCTATATATGGTGATTTTTGTAAGGCGGCAGAACGCCATGCCCAATCTATAACAAATTATCTATTATCTATATATAAACAATCTATAACAAAGTTGTCTACTGACACTCATTCAAATGGGCCATGTTTTGTCGACCGTAAATGGACTCTCCATGGCAAACTCTTGGTGGCGCACTGCATTGTGAATGGCCTGATTTATAAATGTAAAGTATAACATCCCCATTAGTGACTGATTCTACATTGGTTTTGAAGGTTTGTTTTGATTGCTGAAACATTGTTGTTGTAATTTTTTTAATGAAATACCCAAAGCTCTTTCTGTTCTCTTGTATGAAACTCATTTTGAAGGACCCAGTTCAAGCTATTTTTCAGAAAGCATGAATCATTAACTTTGTAATTAAGATGTTAACTCACCCATAGTGGTTAAAACGAACAAGTATCTAAACTCAAAGCCAAAGGCATAGGTACCCTTCCAAATCTCATAGCCAAAGATGCTAGTTATTATGTAGATAACTACCAAAGCCTGCAACAGAAATATAAAGAAACAACTACCATCAATATGAACCTGTGTCAAGCTGTACATGTATGTATACATGTACATGTCCTGGGTATGCAATGAAAATAATTACTGAATACTAAGACAGAACAGGTTATACAGGGTGGTCAAAAAAACACACACACAAAAAAACCAAAAAAAACCAACGACATACTTCCGCTACCTTGAGACTCAAACCACATGTACCAATTGACGGAGAATCCTTATAGAAGAATTATGATACCAGAATATTCAGATTCGGTCCGGTAGTTTTTGCTGCAGATGTTATTTTGTGAAGCACACTTCTTTCATGTGGGTATTATAACATAACAATCCCGCTATCAATTACAATGTAAGTCAAATTCCCGGGCGCGGTTTAGTAATTCATCGGGCCAAAAATGACCCCACCTTGCTTCACAAAATAGGCTCTAGAACAAAAACTACTAGACCGAATCAGACCATCTTGGTTTCATTTTTCTTCTAACAAGATTCTCTATGCATTGGTATATGGTTTGAGTCTCAGGGTAGTGGAAGTATGCCATTCCATTTGACATGCTGCTTTAGGACCAAAGCCGTTGAAATCCATCACTGGTACTAGTGCATATTGATGGACTTGGGCACATGGCTTATCTGCCAAAATCTCCCAAGATGGGGGGGGGGGGTGGATTTTGATGGAGTTGGTAAGGTAACATGGTTAAATAAAAAAATAATCAAATTTAATGTTCACCACTTATCCAATTCATTATTTCGAACCTTATCACAAGACAGATGTTATTCTACAATGTATTTTAAGTCAATTGCTCCCTTAAATTCCTCAACTTATAGAGAAGCTGATCTGGAAACTAATTTGAAAAAGAGGGCCACGTATTTACATTTTCCCTGTGTCAGCTTACAAGTACACTTTTTTCCAATCATTCCGATGAAACATTTGAAAACCAACAATAACAGGAGACAAGTTGGACCCCCTTCCCACAAGATCCACCAAGTGGGGGATCTGATCCACCTTTTGCCAAATTGCCGGATCAGATCCCCCAATTGGTGGATCAGATCCGGCAATTGTGTGTAGTGGGAACGCTAACCGTTATAATGTGGATCAGGATCAGATCCACCTTTCTTGATCCACCTCTGGACTAGGATACAGATCCCCCAATTGGTGGATCAGATCCGGCAACTGTGTGTAGTGGGAACGCTAACCGATAAGGTGGATCAGGATCAGATCCACCTTTCTTGATCCACCTCTGGACTAGGATACAGATTCCCTAATTGGTGGATCAGATCCGGCAAGTGACGGATCACGATCAAATGGGAATGCAACAGGTGGATCTGATGCGGCAATTTGACCTGTAAACATCCGCCCGGTGCTTGAGTGGCGCGAAAATTGTGCGGTCTTATGAACGAAGAAACACATTTTAGGCATGTAGCTCATGTGAAAAATTCCAACGTGCACAACATGCACAATAAACAACCGCTGAACTTTCGTTGCGTATTCGTCCCTTTCTAAACCTTTTTAATTCGTGAAATTTTACCATCCATAAATAACTCTGTGTTAGTGTAGAGCGAACACACACCAAACACGTCACTTTGGCACAGAATCATAGAAAAGCTTACGAGTATGTGATGAGAATAGTGCCGATAATGCGGTACGTACAGAGGTGACAAATCTGTAGTATTGATTATAGAAAGTAGGAAAATGATGTCATAGTACATCATGTGACCATTTTTAACCAATGAGAAGCTTCATAATTGGGGAATCCCTTATCGATGCATTGGTTTCTGCCGCGCAAATGTGACGTCACACAATGAGCAGCGCTGTTCAATTTCACCAGTTAGCCTATTTGCGTCATTTATGTCGGTGTATTGACCCGTCCTAGCATGCAACACTCGCACTCCCACCAGAGCGTGTGCTCAGCAAGCTAGCACATGCGTAATACCGAACTCAGTGACCTTTCAGACCCAACGTTTTTGTTTTTAAAGGTTGACCAAGCATAAGCGGGAACGCGACTTGTGATTTCGTTGTGGTAAGATAACGATCACACCAAAATGCCGGATCTTGATCCACCTTTTTCCAATTCAAGTGGGAACGCGGTGTTGGTCTGAAATCTGTAAGACGTTTCTGGATACATTGATGACTACTTACCAGTTGACTGAAATCATAGGCCCATGGCAGAAACATGACACCAGTTAGATATTTCTCCCAGTGTGAGATGTAAAATGTTGCAGAGATTACACACACGATGAGGTATAACAGCAATATGTTGGCACCATAATCTTTCTCATCTCGGCCAAATATAGAATAGACCCCAATAGGGAGTAGGCATGAGATAACACTATCACTGCCATGATCAAACAACTCTCCTAATGGTGAACTGGAATTAGTGCGTCTTGCTTGCTTGCCATCAATTCCATCTGAACGAATGTATAGAACATGCAAATACGTTAACATAAAAACAACGCGAGGGAAAAATAAAAAAGGAACACATGTACCAATTTGAGTGATTTCCTCTGTACCACTGTCACAAAGTGCTAGGCAATCTCAACTTTTGTTAAGTTTTAGAAGCACACGGCAGATTTTTTAAGTTTCAATTTCTGACACTTTTATTTAGCTTTGTGTTTGAAGTTAAATAACTGCTATTTTACTTGTGACAGAGTTTTAGAGTTGCCGCACGACTCGGAAGAAAGTCGGTCAAAAATATTTTCAACATGGTGGGCAGAGGTGATACAACGACTGTTACGTGAACAAACAGCCATCGTAAATGCTGTTATTATCCTCGTCCAAGATGTTTAGATTTTAATTAAAACATTGTGCAGCTGAGCCAAGTTTCATGAAATTGTTCGTAAGATTATTGCGCAGCTGCGCAATAAATTTGTTGCATAAGTCCTGTGCATGGCGTAAATTACGCACTGTTTTGTGAAATTGGCTGCAGTTGACGACTGAAATTCATCCAAAGCCTAAAACCTACCGAGTGTGTGAGCTACAAACAGCCCAACTCCAATTATCAAAAACACCAGGTTGGAGACAGGTGGGTGTTGTGGGTAAGTACGACTAGAGGCGTAATATGACCAGTCAGCAAGTGACAGGAGGATGAAGCTGAGGACAAGTATCAGGAAGCCCAAGAAGGTCATCAGGTTGGGTGCAAACCAATCTGGAAAAATCTGCAAAGAGAAATCAAGAACAGCAGTCAGTCAACATACCTACCCGACCAAGCCTGCCTAGTCAGGCAACATACCTACCCGACCAAGCCTGCCTAGTCAGGCAACATACCTACCCGACCAAGCCTGCCTAGTCAGGCAACATACCTACCCGACCAAGCCTGCCTAGTCAGGCAACATACCTACCAGACCAAGCCTGCCTAGTCAGGCAACATACCTACCAGACCAAGCCTGCCTAGTCAGGCAACATACCTACCCGACCAAGCCTGCCTAGTCAGGCAACATACCTACCCCAACCAAGCCTGCCTAGTCAGGCAACATACCTACCAGACCAAGCCTGCCTAGTCAGGCAACATACCTACCAGACCAAGCCTGCCTAGTCAGGCAACATACCTACCCGACCAAGCCTGCCTAGTCAGGCAACATACCTACCAGACCAAGCCTGCCTAGTCAGGCAACATACCTACCAGACCAAGCCTGCCTAGTCAGGCAACATACCTACCCGACCAAGCCTGCCTAGTCAGGCAACATACCTACCAGACCAAGCCTGCCTAGTCAGGCAACATACCTACCAGACCAAGCCTGCCTAGTCAGGCAACATACCTACCCGACCAAGCCTGCCTAGTCAGGCAACATACCTACCCGACCAAGCCTGCCTAGTCAGGCAACATACCTACCAGACCAAGCCTGCCTAGTCAGGCAACATACCTACCCGACCAAGCCTGCCTAGTCAGGCAACATACCTACCAGACCAAGCCTGCCTAGTCAGGCAACATACCTACCCGACCAAGCCTGCCTAGTCAGGCAACATACCTACCAGACCAAGCCTGCCTAGTCAGGCAACATACCTACCAGACCAAGCCTGCCTAGTCAGGCAACATACCTACCCGACCAAGCCTGCCTAGTCAGGCAACATACCTACCCGACCAAGCCTGCCTAGTCAGGCAACATACCTACCAGACCAAGCCTGCCTAGTCAGGCAACATACCTACCCGACCAAGCCTGCCTAGTCAGGCAACATACCTACCCGACCAAGCCTGCCTAGTCAGGCAACATACCTACCAGACCAAGCCTGCCTAGTCAGGCAACATACCTACCAGACCAAGCCTGCCTAGTCAGGCAACATACCTACCCGACCAAGCCTGCCTAGTCAGGCAACATACCTACCCGACCAAGCCTGCCTAGTCAGGCAACATACCTACCAGACCAAGCCTGCCTAGTCAGGCAACATACCTACCAGACCAAGCCTGCCTAGTCAGGCAACATACCTACCAGACCAAGCCTGCCTAGTCAGGCAACATACCTACCCAACCAAGCCTGCCTAGTCGGGCAACATACCTACCAGACCAAGCCTGCCTAGTCAGGCAACATACCTACCAGACCAAGCCTGCCTAGTCAGGCAACATCCCTACCCGACCAAGCCTGCCTAGTCAGGCAACATACCTACCCGACCAAGCCTGCCTAGTCAGGCAACATACCTACCCGACCAAGCCTGCCTAGTCAGGCAACATACCTACCCGACCAAGCCTGCCTAGTCAGGCAACATACCTACCAGACCAAGCCTGCCTAGTCAGGCAACATACCTACCCGACCAAGCCTGCCTAGTCAGGCAACATACCTACCCGACCAAGCCTGCCTAGTCAGGCAACATACCTACCAGACCAAGCCTGCCTAGTCAGGCAACATACCTACCAGACCAAGCCTGCCTAGTCAGGCAACATACCTACCCGACCAAGCCTGCCTAGTCAGGCAACATACCTACCCGACCAAGCCTGCCTAGTCAGGCAACATACCTACCAGACCAAGCCTGCCTAGTCAGGCAACATACCTACCCGACCAAGCCTGCCAAGTCAGGCAACATACCTACCCGACCAAGCCTGCCTAGTCAGGCAACATACCTACCAGACCAAGCCTGCCTAGTCAGGCAACATACCTACCAGACCAAGCCTGCCTAGTCAGGCAACATACCTACCAGACCAAGCCTGCCTAGTCAGGCAACATACCTACCAGACCAAGCATGCCTAGTCAGGCAACATACCTACCAGACCAAGCCTGCCTAGTCAGGCAACATACCTACCAGACCAAGCCTGCCAAGTCAGGCAACATACCTACCCGACCAAGCCTGCCTAGTCAGGCAACATACCTACCAGACCAAGCCTGCCTAGTCAGGCAACATACCTACCAGACCAAGCCTGCCTAGTCAGGCAACATACCTACCAGACCAAGCCTGCCTAGTCGGGCAACATACCTACCAGACCAAGCCTGCCTAGTCGGGCAACATACCTACCAGACCAAGCCTGCCTAGTCAGGCAACATACCTACCCGACCAAGCCTGCCTAGTCAGGCAACATACCTACCAGACCAAGCCTGCCTAGTCAGGCAACATACCTACCAGACCAAGCCTGCCTAGTCAGGCAACATACCTACCCGACCAAGCCTGCCTAGTCAGGCAACATACCTACCAGACCAAGCCTGCCTAGTCAGGCAACATACCTACCAGACCAAGCCTGCCTAGTCAGGAAACATACCTACCAGACCAAGCCTGCCTAGTCAGGTAACATACCTACCCGACCAAGCCTGCCTAGTCAGGCAACATACCTACCCGACCAAGCCTGCCTAGTCAGGCAACATACCTACCAGACCAAGCCTGCCTAGTCAGGCAACATACCTACCCGACCAAGCCTGCCAAGTCAGGCAACATACCTACCCGACCAAGCCTGCCTAGTCAGGCAACATACCTACCAGACCAAGCCTGCCTAGTCAGGCAACATACCTACCAGACCAAGCCTGCCTAGTCAGGCAACATACCTACCAGACCAAGCCTGCCTAGTCAGGCAACATACCTACCAGACCAAGCATGCCTAGTCAGGCAACATACCTACCAGACCAAGCCTGCCTAGTCAGGCAACATACCTACCATAGTGAGGTACATTAGTAACAAAAATGCTAAGGATCGTTACACAGTGGACAAAAGCACCATTTTTTCACCAAAGCATCTCCATGGTATACCTTTTCGAAAAAAAGACAGACGCAAAAAATTGGATGATGGAAAGGGCATGTATGACGTCATTATGACGTCATCAGCTAATTATTACATGAAAAAATATAAATTAATAATAATCTTCAGAACTGCAAGCATCTCAACAACAAATTTGGTATCAAATTAAAGGGGACAACAAGATCTTTCATTTGAGTGGTATGTCATTGGGATGGAATATAGTTGAGGGTGATTTTGTGGGTCAAAAAAACCCCTTTTTGGTCAAAAGACCTGTTTTTTCGGCTAAAATCATGGATTTTGGGTAGTCACTTTGACACCTAGTTTTAACATGCAAACAGTATGTGGTATTGTGAGATGTTGTTTTTAAGTCAGAGAGAAAGGCTCAAATTCTATGCCAAAAGATTTTTTGTAATTGATTATTAGTATCTTAAATGTTTAAACTTGTTCCAAAGATAAGCGCAAAAGTGAGGTACCTTTAATAGTGATAAAATCGTGACACGGGTGGACAAAAGCACCATTTTCACACCAAAGCATCTCCATTATTTACCTTTTCGAAAAAAAGGTAGGATACAAAAATTGGATGATGGGAAGGGCCATTTATTACATCATTATGACGTCATCGGCTAATTATTACACACTTATACATTAAAATTGAGATATTAGTTAGGAATAAGCCATGGATCGTTTTTTTTTACATTTAATATACGTTTCTGAGATCAAGGAAAGCAGTGCAGTTACCAATTTTGTTCTTAGTTCTTTAAAAGATTTAAATACAAATAGTTTGATAAAATGAGGGATGTTTTCTAATTTAATGTATTAAATTAAACATGTATGTACATGTACATTTGACTCTCGCTCCTATCCCCTGTTGTGATCAATGATTCGTTAAAATGCAATGTCTTACGTCATGATTATCTCATAAATGTTACCTCAGGAATGATGCCACGAGGCATTATTTTCCACAAAAGTTTCTACTGTCCCTTCGGCTCCGTATTCTACATCAACTGGCAATGCATTTATTGCCCTAAACCCTTCAACATTAGCCAGGAATTGAGCATATACTTCTCCGGCGTTACAATTTAAACCTTTTTGTGGACAACGTAGTTTTTCTGGTGTAGTTTGCATGCAGATAATGCAAGCAGTCCAATCCATGATGACTGTCCTGAAATACGATAGTAACAGTTCACATAAGCAATAAAAAGGTAGAATGTTCAAACCAATTATACGTTCGAATGTTGCAAAATAATACGTTTTGTGGAAGTTTGTCAACTTGCAAAGGTATATTTTACGCAAGATGAATTATATCTACAATTTCTACAAAGACTTCTGTTCATTTTTACCAAAATCTCTAATAATTAATAAACAAGACTACAGATGAAGCTTATTTAAAGATTATTTATTTGCACGATCTCAGTCGCAATCCAGCTTTGTGGAAACAAGAAAGGATAAACTACTCACACAGTGGACCTTCAGAGATGCTCTGCCCGTGTCACACAGAAGATGATGTCTGATGGATACTTCAATAGGATAGACGGTCCATCAACGACAAGGATGGTGTATTTAATCGAGAAACACACTTGTGCATCATGGATAATTGTTTGTCTTTTTCACGTCCCAAACTAAAAACCTTTACAAACTGCAGGACATGACTTGCTGCACTGGTATTGTGTTTGTAATGGTTACAGCCCGATAGTACGAAGGTTCTCTAGTCCGAAGGGTCATTAGTCCAAAGGTTCGTTAGTCCGAAGGTTCAATAGTCCAAAGGTTCGTTAGTCCGAAGGTTCAATAGTCCGAAGGTTCGATAATCCGAAGGTTCGATAATCCGAAGGTTCGATAGTCCGAAGGTCCCATTAGTCCGAACATAGAATACGGTTAATTAATTCGAAGGTTCGATAGTCCGAATAGACGATAGGGTTTGATAGTCCGAATTGAGAAAAAGGTTCGATAGTCCGAATTGAGAATAAGGTTCGATTGTCCGAATGGGCAATACGGTTCGTCAGTATGACTCTTCGGACTATCGGACCTTACTGTTGATTCGGACTATCGGACCTTACTGTCGATTCGGACCATCGGACCATCATAGAGTCTTTTCGGACTATCGAACCTTATTGTCAATTCAGACTATCGAACCTTCGGACTATTGAATCTTATTTTCAAGCCCGCTGGAACAAAGTTTTGCCAGGGGGTGCTGGAATTTCTAAAGGACGGACAAAATTAATGCGAACGCGGAGCACAAAGCCCTTACGGCTGGCTTAAAGGGCCCCTAAAAGCTTTGGAATATGGATGCTCTGTGGTGCAATATGAGGCGATTCCTGGCCACTTTCATATGACTTTTTTAGCAAAGGTTTTTTTGAGATTATAAAGAAAATTTATTTTACTTTTTTGTTTAGAATATACTGTTGCTCTTATGACGTTTCTAATGTACTGAAAAGTCGAAAACCCTGTATTTTTTATCTCCATTCTTTGTTCCATTTAATTCTGGACAAAGAATTGTATCATTATGCATGACATCGCACGTAAATATTATTGTTGCTAGGCTGCTTTCTTACATTTAGTAAATTCTGTCGTGTATGTTTTTTTTTTTTCCGAGCCCTTACGGTGTGAGGCCACAGGGCCAGGGGCCTGCTTTAAGGCCCCTGAAAATGTTGGATTCTGGATGCACTGTGATGAAATATACTGAAGTATATACTTAAACTTATAAAACCCGAAAGGGTGTTTTTTGGTTCAAGTTAAAACAAAATGGTTCCACTGGAAGCGGGTGAATTTCTGTTCATAAAAATATTCACATAGGCCTAAACGATGTAGCTCTTGATACATTTGCAGTGTTATTTGTTTGTTACAGGGAATGGCAAATATAAAAGACTAACAGACCAAATGCATCTTTATGTTTATGATCGGTATGTGGAAAGTTTGGGGCTAGGCAAGGATTTATCGGTCTACTGAGTTTTTATGAGGAAAAACTTGCAAAGGGTAACACATGAATAGCTTTTTTATTAAAACGAAACTACACTGGAACTAGTTTCAATGGAAGCCCATCCCACTCCTGTTAGGTTGGGATGTGTGTGAACCTTGATATTTGTTAATGTTGAGTACAGAATGCTAGCAACGTCAATCAAACTTTTAAATGAAAAGAAAAACCTTCAGGGGAAAGGTATGAACTTTGCCCCTATTGAAAGAAAAAAATCGTGGCAAGCATAATCAACTTTGCCACCATTGTCATGGAAAAGGTTATTTTTTCTGGTCAAAGCTTCCATAATGGCGGAAATATCATAGACATGTCATGATTTTAGATACATTGAGAGAAATATCAATTCTGCACTGCCTGAAAATTTAGAAAATACCTCCTCCTGATATTTTACAGTGTTACTTTGTGCTAGACGTTCGAAGCGCTAGCTAGCTAGCAACGTCAATGAAATTTTTAAATGAAAAGAAAAACCTTCAGGGGAAAGGTATGAACTTTGCCCCTATTGAAAGATTGAATGAAAAAAATCGTGACAAGCATAATCAACTTTGCCACCATTGTCATGGAAAAGGTTATTTTTTTCGGGTCAAAGCTTCCATAATGGCGGGAATATCATAGACATGTCATGATTTTAGATACATTGAGAGACATATCGATTCTGCACTGCCTGAAAATTTAGAAAATACCTCCTCCTGATATTTTACAGTGTTACTTTGTGCTAGACGTTCGAAGCGCCGCGCTAAGCCGCGGCAAAACTAGAAATGAACAAAACGAGGGAGATATTTTTAGAGCAAGCATAATGTATAGCGCAGCGGCGCAATTTCAACGTCATAGAACACTGCTGGCTGGAACACATTTTTGCCCGGGAGTAGAGGGTGCTGAAGCATATTTCAGCACCCCAATCCAAAAAGTTGGGGGTGCTGCAGCACCCACAGCACCCCCCGTTCCCGCGGGCTTGTTATTTTCGTTTCGGACTATTGAACCTTTGGACTGATTACCCTTATTCTAAATTCGGACTATCGAACCTTTGGATAAATAAACCTTCAGACTGATGAACCTTCGGATTAATGAACCTTCGGACTATTGCATCAAATGTTCGGATTAACGAACCTTATTTCAATTTACGGACTAACAACCCCCCTTATGGAAATTTTGTGCATTTGAACTATCGAACCTTCGGACTATTGGACCTTCGGACTATCGAGCCCCCGTTTGTAATACATTGTTAAAAGACGTATCATCACCATTTCCGGCCACTCTGTTAATCTATTTTAGGTTACCACGTTCCTTTCTGTCTGGCTCCTAACCCATACCTCATTACCCGTAATATACAACACATATAAGAATGTTACGTCTTCCAGCTATAGTAAATGGTCAAAACAAATTCAAGGAGCCGTTACTTTTAAGTAACAATACTTTTAAGTAACAATAAGCTGATTTGCTGATGCAGTGACGTCACTATTTTCAAATGTCACTTCTTATATCACTCTTCAATTCCCTGACCCTCAAAATGTCAAATTAATTACTTGGAATCTCATCACAACGCTTCACGACCTTATTTTCTACAATTAATTACTGTACAAACTTGGTAGTATATTGTGACGTCATTATTACGTCATAAAGTACCCTTCCTGTCATCTGATTTTTTACATCCTACCCTATTTTTGATCGTAACACATTGCCAAAGCTTTGGTGAAAAAAATGGTGCTTTTAAATACCATGTAACGATCCTTAGCATTTTTGTTACTAATGTAGTTCGCTATAAGATGCCTCACTTTTCCGCTTATCTTTGGAACAAGTTTAAACATATTTATGATACTAATAATTAATTAATTACAAAAACTCTGGCATAGAATTTGAACTTTTCTCTCAAACTTAAAAACAACATCTCACAATACCACATACTGTTTGCATGTTTAAACAAAGTGTCAATGTGACTACCCAAAATCCATGATTTTAGCCTAAAAACATGTCTTTTGACCAAAAAAGGTTTTTTTTGACCCACAAAATCACCCTTAACTATATTCCACCCCATGACATACCACTCAAATGAAAGAGCTTGCTGTCCCCTTTAATTTGATACCACATTTGTTGTTGTAATGCTTGTAGTTCTGAAGATTATTATTAATTTATATTTTTTTTTTGGTAATAATTAGCTGATGACGTCATAATGACGTCATACATGCTCTTCCCATCATCCAATTTTTTGCGTCCGTCTTTTTTTCGAAAAGGTATACCATGGAGATGCTTTGGTGAAAAAATGGTGCTTTTGTCCACTGTGTCACGATTTTTTCACTAAGGTACCTCACTACCAGACCAAGCCCAATATATGTATACAAATATTGGGTGAAGTGCAGTTTCGAATAATCGAATACTAAATTATTGAAAAATGGACAGATAGCAGAAAATCCCAAATCTACGGCTCACCCATGCACACACGTGTACAATGTAAGTGTAAACAGCATTCCTTACCTACATGTACATGTACATGTGTTCAATGGGACTAGGTTAGCTACATGTACTTGATACAGTGACCCATGTTGAGACAAAGTGTGAAAAGGCGTTCACACAACAGTTAGAGAAATGACTTCATACAGGACAAGTCAAAGACATTTTCCAACTAATACAAATGCATTACTGAATACAATAATTAATCCTTTGTCTCACATGAAGTTAAGATGATTGGTATGAAACTGAACTAAAGGTAAAACCTGGTACAATTAATGATATGTGCAGGCTGAGACAAATGTATATTACTGAACATACCTTGACAACACTGTTCCAGAAAGGGTGCATAACGTAGATGGACAGGGGTGAGGTATCCTTGGCATTGTACTGTGCATTACACAAATGGGGAAACAAACAGCAGATGCATGTAGATCAAATTCAGTAAATGAACCATCATGTAACAACGTGTGGATTCTTTGCAACAAGCTGCTTCATTGAGTTTCATACATAATATTTGATGAAAAAAGTGGCATCAGGATGCAACAGTCTTTCTTCTTCAACAAGGTTAAACAAGAGTAATATTAATAAATAATTTTCTTTTTTGAGTAGTGGGCCTTCTTATAAAGGGAATAAACATCATTTGCAAACATCGTAAAACAAAACTACCAAATTCTAATGAAATACCTTACCGGACTGTTATTGAATGACAATCTAAAGCATCTTGTTAAATCATGGCACCCGGTGTGCTGACATTTACAAGAAAAATTGAATTTTTTTAAAAATCATTTTCCAATGCTGGTCGCCTGACCAGCGTTGGAAGAAAGACTGGCTGTGTTTCAAATACTAGCCCAATTTACTATATTTAGTTAGTCTGAAATTCTGAATTTTGTTTGCAATCAATATTTACACATCCATGACATCTATGAACGGGTGCCTTCTAGACTGGTTCCCTGACCTTACAATTCCTCGACCTCTATAAATCTTGCTTTCTTGCTTGTTTTTGCTTGTGATTAAGGGTCGAATTGAGGCCTAGGACTAATAATGACCCATCAAATCTTGGTCAAATAAGTCTAATCTTAACTTAAAGAGGGCATGTGGTTGCAGAATTGAGTCAACAAAAGAGAAAAGAAGTTGATGAAGTACACATAAAAATTAATATATTGGGGTAAATTTACAGCTGTGGAATTTCCAAACATTATTGAGGCTGTTTTCAAAAGAAATGAGAGATGGAGCTTGGACCACTTTCTCTGGCAGACTGTTCCATAATGTCAACGACTGGATGTGATCCAGGGATATCGTTGTTTATATAATTTCTTACTCCATGTTTAAAGCTACAGTCCATCATTTGTAATTTGTGCATTTTGTTCGTTTGAAGCAACAAAAGAGTTCAAAATCTAATAAAAGATACTGAGCAACTAACCTGATGAAATTTCAGCTAAGCTTCAGCTGTACATTCCGAGAAAAACAGCATTCTAAGATCTCAATTTCAAATCCAAAGTTACTGAATCATGTTTTGAATTGTTTTGAATTGCAGCTATACGCGACGTCGCGCACTGATCCGACGAATTATAACAACCGCGTGCGCGTGTGCGTCGTTCCAATACTTGTGCGCGCTGCGCTGAATAACAAAACGAACTACTAATTTAAATTTTCCTACGGTGCTTCTTAAGAATCACCGTTGGAAATGCCTTCTTTCGTTGATTACTTCAAAATGACAGCTTCCCAGAAAGAATAATTTCACAGGGAGTTTAGTCCCCTTACTATTTTTCAACCAAGTTTGTTTTTCAACAATAATTACGCCAGTTACTTTTCGGATGACTGCAAATGATGGACTATACCTTTAAACAGGAAGATTCTCATGCCTGATAAATTGCTCCATTTCAACTTTAAGTGGGGACAGGTGTCTGGGAACCAGACTATGAACAGGAAACTTCAATCAATTCAATTTAACAAATAATATTCACTATAAAAATAGGCTAAATTATTACTAATCCCCTACATGATGTAAATCCATCCAGTTCTGAAAATTACCGCAAAAGCAATTGTAGATTTCTTTTTCAATACACAGAGTCAGAGGTTTTAAAACCTGAACCAGTGAACGTCATGGCCAGTAGGCTACGATGGTCTAATGATCATGAAGTACATCATCATCCTGATCATGCATGTATGGAATTCCATTACTGCCATTTCCGCGTCGCAAGTGGGGCAATGGTGCTTGGGGCTTTAGCCGTTTACGCCGTCAACGGCGCATAGTCGCGTCGTGCCGTCGCATTGTCGCGTCGTGCCATCGCATCATGCCGTCGCGTCGTGCCGTCGCATTTTAACTGAAATATCCAGTGTTTCGAGCATAGTATGAGGCGCCATGTGTAAATAAATTATTTAACAAAATCATTTATATATAAGTCTTTATTTATTATATAATTCAGTTTTTCGGCTTATTTAGGCTGATTTTTTTAATGTATAATGCATTATTTACATATCATTAATTTCTTCTCGGACAATTATATATAAATAATTGTTTGGCAGTTTGCATTATATGCATTATAATTATGTAGGCCTAAATAAATTAATTTGCCACTGCATTATTTATATATAATTTGTTTTTGCAACATAATTATTTACAATTTTTTTTTCAAACTACTTTTCGCAACTTCCATAATGGCGGAAATATCATAGACATGTCATGATTTTAGATACATTGAGAGAAATATCGATTCTGCACTGCCTGAAGATTTACAAAATACCTCCTCCTGATATTTTACAGTGTTACTTAGTGCTAGACGTTCAAAGCGCCGCGCTTAGCCGGGGCAAAACTAGAAACGAACAAAACGAAGGAGATATTAGTAAAGCAAGCATAATGTATAGCGCAGCGGCGCAATTTCAACGTCGTAGAACACTGCTGGCTGGAACACATTTTTGCCCGGGAGTAGGGGGTGCTGAAGCATATTTCAGCACCCCAATCCAAAAAGTTGGGGGTGCTGCAGCACCCACAGCACCCCCCGTTCTCGCAGGCTTGAGGTGCAGTCTTCCTAGACCTTAAGAAGGCTTTTGACACGGTCAATCACACCATACTTCTTAAAAAGCTTCTTAGTATTGGTGTCTGTGGTCTGGAGCTGGACTGCAGGTTCCGGTCGTACTTATCAGGGAGAAAACAAGTCACCAAAAAAAGTGAAATTGTATCAGATGCCTCTCACTGCATTGAATTTGGTGTACCTCAAGGCACAATACTTGGACCATTGCTATTTTCCATTTTTATCAACGATTTGCCACCATTCTAAAATAGTCATGTATGCAGACGATACTGCAATTTTTTATTCTGATAAAGATGTTAATCAAATAAACAAAATTCTCAACTCATACATGGAACGAATAAATCAAACAGACTCTCTCTCAATACCACCAAAACAACTTAATGCTTCTGGTAATTTGTTTTTGGGAGGGTTCATATGTGCATACATAACCATAAGTGGATTTTTTAAGATGTCAATCTTTTTATACGTCATATGTCGTCAGTTTTATCTTTCGTTACATTGAGATGCATATTTATGGTTTTTTTTATATGTAAATTACAATTAATGCTTCTGGTTATTGCTTTGGGAGGGTCTTTATTTCTTATGCTTGATGACTTTTAAAATTTATGTGATTTTTTTGTGAATGTGTATTTTTAATGTCGATTGATTGTTTGTTTTGTTTATTGTCTTTTATGTATGCTGGGACCCATGGGAAACCAGTTGATTCCACTGAAAGGGCCACCCAGTTGAAATAAGAAATATATATATAAATAAATAAATAAATTATTTATATATAATTTATTTGCAACCTTATTATTTATATATAATTTTTTGCAAACTTTAATTATTTATATATTTTTTGGCAACATATTTATTTACAAATAATTGTTTGCAAACTATAATTATTTATTATATAATTCATTATTTATCATATAACTCATTATTTATTATATAATTCATTATTTATTATATAATTAATAATGAATTATATAATAATAATTATAATCATTACTCTTTTCGCCCCAATAGGGTGACTTTCCCATAGACTTACACCTAAACTGTCACCTTACCCAAGTTTACCTTATGTTTTTTCCACGGAATTTAGTATTTATACTAATTGGACCATGAGGAATCGATCTAGATGGTTAGCGACAGCAAAATTCCTTGTCCTAAGGGTCGTTTTCATAAAAAAGCGACAGTTATTTTGTCGCCTCAATAAGGTGTATCGCCCTATTGTGGACGGAGTTCGCAAAACCTGTCGCCCTATTACAGTAATAGTAGTAATAGTTTGCAAACAATTATTTGTAAATAAATGTTACCCAAAAAATATATAAATAATTATGGATTGCAAAAAAAAAATTGTAAAAATTTATGTTGCAAAAAAAATTATATGTAAATAATGCAGTGGCAAATAATTTATTTACATATAATGCAAACTGCCAAACATTTTTTTATATATAGTTGTCCGAGAATAAATTTAAGATATGTAAATAATGCATAAATATATAAATAAATAAGCCTAAATAAGCCGAAAAACTGAATTATATAATAACTAATGAATTATATATAAATAATTTTGTTAAATAGTTTATTTACACATGGTGCCTCATACTATGCTCGAAACACTGGATATTTCAGTTACAATGCGACGAGGCGACGGTACGACGCGACTATGCGACGGCACGACGCGACAATGCGACGGCACGACGCGACAATGCGACGGCACGACGCGACTATGCGATGGCCCTATACAAACAGTACGAAACTATGCGACGGTACGACGCAACGGTACGACGCGACTATGCGACGCTACTATGCGACAGCACGACGCGACAATGCAACGGCACGACGCGACAATGCGCCGTTGACGGCGTAAACGGCTACGGCCCCAAGGGCCCACTTGCAACGCGGAAATGGCAGTACTAATGGAATTCCATATGCATGATCATGCTGCTGGCGTGCTGCTGTCAATGACAGCAGCACGTTTTGGTTTCTGTTTTGGTTGATCTTGGCATGCAGTGTCATTGTTACGCCCCAACGTATTGGTCCCAACTGTAGCACCACAGTTGGGCTGGCCCAACTATAGTTGGGAGTCATCAAGGGGGCCCATCTATAGTTGGGCCACTCCAATCTTTTTATTTTGCGGTGTCCCAACTGTAGTTTACATTGATGTACATTTATACAACTATAAAACATTCCCTACAGCTCTGATCTGCTGATACTCAGTGATAGACGTCTGACTTTACTTGGAACTAGTACTGAAATTTGCTATTGGTGGGACCCATCTACAGTTGGGCCATGGCAATCTTTTTATTTTGCAGTCCCAATTATAGTTTACGCTGCTGTACGACTATAAAACATTCCCTATAACTCTGATACACATCGGACTTTACGTTTACTTGGGACCAATGCATGCATGCCAAGATCAACCAAAACGGGAACACAGTTAGACTCCCCAGGCCTTGTAATCAATTTTACCTTGTATTTGTCAAATCCCCGAAGGTGTTTTTCACTTAGATATTCGGTCGCCATTATAAATAAAATAGTACAATCTCACAGCGGCAGTCACTTCCAAGTATTTTTTGAAAATTCAATCAACGCACACTGGCACGACTAGCAGTAGCATGACTCGTCTACACATGGACAAGGGCCGGGCCGGCATGCAGGGTGACCGTAAGGTCATGGCCAAATTCTGCTAAATGTACTTCAAAAATCTGTCAGATCGATCAAAAATCTGCCAAATTCCCAAGAATTACTCGAAATACACTATAAACACTTAAAATCACATGAAAATGTTTTAGTATTGCCATAATTAACGTTCAAATTAATCATAAACAATCTATAGTCACATAAAAATGTTAAGAAATTGCGTAAATTTCAGACAAAACACTGTTGCATCACGACGAAGTCCGGTTCCCAGTGAACCTCGGCACCTAAACCAGCCAAGCTGTCCTAAGGGTTTGTTTGAGAAGATTTAAACTTTTTTAAACAAATGTACAATTTTTAAAAAATTTGCCATGTTTTTCTGTCAAATAATTATTTTTGCAGAATTCTGCCAGAAATCTGCCCCAAAAAATCCATTCTGTCAAATTTTCTGTCAAACTCGTTTTTTAACAAAAAATCTGTCAAAGTTAGCCGAAAATCGGCTAAAACGGTCTTCATGCCGGCATGACATGCCCGACTACCGACGGAATGCTGATTGCTGAATGCTGACCCAACTACTGTAGGTGTTCCTATTTACAGTTGGGCCTGTCTATAGTTGGGTCAGCCAATATACGCTCGTCCCGTTCTCGATGTACAAAACCGGGGCATTATTTTAGGCTGCACAAACACCTCCGCCCCGGCCCCAAAGAAGATAAAAATAGCTAAATGTTCACAAAACAGCAATTACTTCCCAGTTCAATGCATTGTCAATACTTTTCTTTCTGGTTGAAGCAATTGCCTTCATTATTTGCCATCCGACATTGCTACTAATATACACGTAATTTGTATAATATATGAAATAAATGAATTTCGTTCTTTTTCGATAGACAAAACTGCATGCAGAATATTTATATTCATATCATAATTGACAATTGGAAGTAAAATAAACTGATATACATAAAGTTTCATATCTTAGTTTTTGTGTAAAATTTAAGAAGTAAAATCAGACGCATGGAAAGATGAGAAAAATGTCTTTGTTGAAAATCATGATACTGATGCGTGTGCTGATTACATAACATTTGATGACAAATACGGATGCTCCAAAAATACCAATGCCCTAATGCAATAGACCTTTCAGTACACTATTATGGGACTATTTTGTTACGCCGGACTGAGACTTTGCATTAATTAGAATTAAATGGCTATATAGGCTTGGGCGCGGCCGTTCAAATTCAGTGACCGTCAACCTGATCTGGGACGCATCTCACCATGCCTTCATTTTGCTGTGAGTTTGTTTAATATGAAATTATTTTGCAGAGCAGTTAGTTTCCGACTTACTTTATTTCTGTTGTCATCGAATCCCGGGGGCAAAAGAGGCCCACATAACAAAACTGTAAACTAGATATGTTATCATATGTACAATGAACAAATCTATTTGAAATGACCCTTCAGCAAATAACAAAATCATCCTTCAGCCTGGTGCAGACCTGAAAATCGACTCCCATAGGTGATAATTGCGCATACTTCCTAAAATTGTTAAAATTCTCACAACTCTCCAAGGTATTTGAGATTCCCATCAAATTAAAGCTTATTTCAGCCGGCCGCGTTGTAATGTATGCATTATGCGGGCGCATAATACATACATTACAATACGGCCGCCATTTTTAAATCGCATGGAGGAACATTTTCGGGACGATATTCGTAGGAGATGATGATTGAAAGTCGTTTTTTGGTCAGATGGATGAAGATTTTTAGATAAAAGAACGTTTTTTTCGAAAAGATATGAGTTACTCTACAATTAGGAACCTCAACTTTGGAAATTTCTAATCTCGATCAAAATCGGTAGCAAAATCGCTACATCAGAGTTTTAAGCGTTTAGGGGAGCATTGGCTGTCTGGCCGTATACTACAGAGCTTGCGATAGTACTGTACGGCCAGATGCAGTCGGGCTAATAATACACTAACAAAATGGCGAAGCATGCCATGTTTGTCCACAAACTTGGTCTAGTTTACTCCCTGTTTGTCTTTTCCCCTTCAAATTACTTCCCAGAAAGGCTTTTAACCCTAAAAGCCTGAAGCCTCTAGGGGCGGAATCGGCCCCCTTCAACTTTTTACGCGACACCCTTGCAATTTTTTTTTGCGACCGAGCTTTCCTGACTTCTTAGCCTCGAGTCTTGCGCATCTTGATAAACATAACATTCCCCAATCATGGGTTGCCGGGCAGCGAATTTTTTTCCGGCGCTACCGTGATGCACGCAGGTACTAGGTTGAATTTGCGAGTATAAATATTATTAGATAACGGCAGAACTTAACAAAAACTTTATCGCGATCTATGATTTATATCACCCCGACGCAAAATTCCATCTTATAATCGCGATCTATGGTTCACTGAACATTTAATTGTAGGTTTTCCCGGTTATTGTAACACCTGTATCACACTTGTATCCACGGAAACGAAATGTAATGACAACAACATTAAAACGAATGACAAAAAAAACAACGAATTTGCTTTTTCATTCAACGCCGATAGACCTTTATCATGCTGCCACCATTTTAGTCATGTTCCTTGTATCCAATAACAGTACTGATTGTTTTTGTGTGTGCAAAAAGGAACCTTATTTCCTTCCAGCCTCGCTTTGGTTACATTGATTTGAATAGGAAAAAATCAAATGGCTGCAACATGATAATGGTCTGTTGCTATACGAAACGAATTTTACAAATTGAGGACGAATCGGTATGCTAAACATTTGAATTATACTGAGCCTTAAAATATAGTGTGGCTTTTTGAAATTCAAATTGAGAATTGAGCTTGGCGATGTTCGGGGACAAAATTAAAGTATCAAAATAGGAAATTCGTGTGATACAAGTGTGAAAATAACCGGGAAAGCCTATATTTTGAGTAAACAGTTCCCCAAACTTTGGGACTTAATAAAGGTGATGCAATCAAGCTAAATGAGTCGTTTGTCGGGAATTTTTATTTGGAGATACAGACCAAAATAGGGCCACTTCATCACATGACTTCATTGCATCTTTTGGTGCAATGAAGTCATTCCGACTTCCATAATTTTTTTAAACTAAAGATGGTATCAGCATGCGGTTTTCACAGCAGTAATGCTGAGTGCTCTTTTCAAATCTGTAATAAATTTTTTTTGACCAGGGTCGACAAACGACTCATGTAGCTCACGGATACTACACACAAGGATCAACGACTCGGCCAAACTCCTGCTTAGACGCGTGATAATAACGGCCCGTGGGGGTGTGACCATGAATACTTGTCACAAAGACCCTTGGGCGCGGTGGCTTTAGATTTGCATGGCTCTGCGCCCGATCTGGTGTCGAAGTCTGTCAAGCCAGCTAATTATATTTTTGAATATTCATGAGTCTACGTTTTTGGTCTTTGTTGTTGAATTCTGATAAGTGATAACTGCATAACCATAGCTTTAATATGGATAATGAAATGTCGCTTTTGTTTCATTGGTTCGGGATCACATCTGTCTAAAACTTCTTGCCTAATCAAAAACGAACGGTGTTCTCCTCGAAATATGACGTTTATTTTCCTGGTAAATACTTCAGCTGACGACAAAAAGTGCACCGTCTGTTATATCCTCAAGTATTTATTTTTCAGCAATTTTGGAAGAATTATGTCCTACATAAGGAGTAGTTTTGCATACAGTTTTATGAATATTTTCGTTTAAGATGTCATGCAAAAAAACGACACAACACCTGGACAATTCGCGATTGCAAGCTAACGGGTATTATAAATGCCCGTTAATCACGTCTAACCATGGAGCTACGGTCTAACCAATTAAGGCAAGTCCGCTCTGTGCATTTTGTACTGGAGCTCAGAACAGTCATTTATCCTTCTAGTGGAGGATTGGCCGTGTGTAGCTTGACCTTATTCTTGTCATGTTGCAGCAACCCCTGACCTCCTAGTCAAGATCCCTAGAGGATGTTTCAGGAGGAAACCAACCAAGTACCAAGTTAGGAATGTGATCCCAACTCAAGTTTACATCACCCAATTAAACTGCAGCAAAGACCCAACTGCAACTTCAACGAGACTGGTTCCCGATCCCTTGATTATCGTCTGATGACCTCCAATCTAGTCCATGCGGCGGGAACCAGTACTACGAAGAATGAAATAGAGTTTTGTCGGATAGATGGCGCAAGGATAATGTGATAAAAGTGGTACGCATAATGCCAACCTCGTCCCCAGGGTGTCGAGCAGTACGCGCCCACCACTACCTGCTCTCTCACCTTTGCTATTGGAAACGCGGTTGGAAATAAAGTAAGCACTGGGGACGAGGTTGGCATAATGCCTGCCACGTACTACACGTTCCTTATGCACGACCAACACGAAGGCCCTAAACCGCGCCAAATTTTATTATGATCATCACGTTCTTGGCTATCTTGCTGTCCTGTTTCTAACTTTTGATCAAAACGTACGTATGCTAATTTATTTTACTTGTAAATTTGTAGACTGTAGGAAAAGGATTGGGACATGTGTCATCATAGCCATGTTTGTTTCGTACTAATTTATTAATGGGAGCTAGCTTGAGACTTTTTGTTGAGTAGGCCTACTATTAACTCTAGCCCCATATACATGTGGCCTATTTACGTTTACTGGACACTGGACTACCTCCGTAAACATAGGCCACATATCCACATGTACAAAAACGTGTCGCACTTTGCCAAATTTTGATTTTCACATTATTTTAGGCTTAGTTTGTAGGTTTTTTTGCATTAGAAGCATACTCACCCTCTGTATAGGCTAATCAGAAAGTGCTGCCTTTTTCAGATGTCTAATTTTTGTGACATTTCATGTTGAAATTTTGATACGCAAACGTGTACTCCTACTCCTAGTCCTATAGTCCTAGAACTATGAGGCTCCACGTAGTGGAGCCTCATGATAGATTAAGAACCCCGCAAAATTGTTTGCAGCACAAAACACTAATTAAGTACAAAAACGTCCATCAAAATGCAGAAATTTCCCACAGACAAATGACAGAACCACTGCACAGTTTGCCCCCAAACTCCATACTACACCTCATGACATACTTACAAAATATGCGCAGAACAAACATCGCTGGATTTTGTCGGTTTTTTGGCTAAAATGATGAAAAATATGCCCTTTCAGCACTGAGCCAACCTGACACTTGAAACGTGCGCGCATATGATCGAGCGATGATTTTCGGTTCGCTCGGAGCGCGCCGCGGGGGGTACGGTACAAGCGAAATGATAGTATGTGCATGCGTACAAGTGTTTGTACCGTACCCCCCCGCGGCGCGCTCCGAGCAAACCGGAAATCATCGCTCGATCATATGCGTGCACGTTTCAAGTGTCAGGTTGGCTCAGTCAATCAGTGCGGAAAGGGCATATTTTTCATCATTTTAGCCAAAAAAATGACAAAATCCAGCGATGTTTGTTCTGCGCATATTTTGTGAGTATGTCATGAGGTGTAGTACGGAGTTTGAGGGCAAACTGTGCAGCGGTTCTGTGGGAAATGTCTGCATTTTGATGGACGTTTTTGTACTTAATTAGTGTTTTGTGCTGCAAACAATTTTGCGGGGTTCTTATAGTTCTAGGAGTAGCAAACGTGTGCAAATAAATCTGGAAATTTCACGAAAAATAGACATCTGAAAAAGGCAGCACTTTCTGATTAGCCTATAAAGAGGGTGAGTATGCTTCTAAAGCAAAAAAACGTACAAACTAAGCCTAAATGTGAAAATCAAAATTTGGCAAAGTGCGACACGTTTTTGTACATGTGGATGTGTGGCCTAAGTAATGTTTACGGAGGTAGTCCAGTAAATAGGCCACATTTATGGGGCTAGAGTAACTCCAGCCGACATGCTCCATATTCATTCACATGTTACGCTGGAGGCATAACCTGTTCGTTAGAATCTCTCTCTCTCTCTCTTCCGGTAAAGTACAGTCCACCATCTGGTGTATTACGTACTGCGGTGGTTGTGTGCATGCAAGGTGAGGATATATACAGTGCAGTTGATCAGCTTAAACATAAGGTGCGGCTAAAAACATCTCGGGCTGACTTAGCGGAGCTGGACTGACTGCACACCCTGCTTGAAGCTTGCAAGCGATGTGCAGTTGACGAGATCTTGTGGAAGGGTGTTCCAAATTCTGATGCTATCCGGAAAGAATGACTGCCGATATACCCCAGTCCTGGTGAATGGTACTAGGTATCTGAGGGAGTGACCTCTCAGGGCAACTGTTGGTGTCAGGTAGGTATGTGGGACATCAACCAGGTTGTTGACAATTCGGAACATCATCACTGCCTTGGCCTGTGCACGCCGTTCTTGAAGGGTGGGCCACTGGAGCTGATTGATCATGGCAGTGACACTGCTGGTGGTCCTGTAGTCCCCAAACACAAAGCGTGCATAACGCCGTTGCACCATCTCCAGCTTTTGGATGTTGCTTGCTGTCAGGGGGTCCCATATGATGCAAGAGTATTCAACTATAGGGTGTACTAAGGTCTTGTAGCACAGCTCCTTTGTTTTTCTAGGACACTGATGGATATTACTCTGCAAGAAAGCCCTAGTAGAATTGGCTTTGTTGGTAATGCTATTGATGTGATGGTTCCAGTTCAGGTTTTTGTGGATGTTGACGCCGAGGTATTTTGCAGAGTCAACCTCTTCTAGTACGTGGTTATGAATGATGTACGGCTGTTTGATGAGTTTCCTTTTGTTGGTTATATGGATGACCTGACACTTCTGTGGATGGAACTCCATCTGCCAATCCTTCTCCCATTGCTGAAGGTGGTCCAAGTCCTGCTGCAATAAACTTCCATCTTCCTCTGTCTTGATGGTGGTAGAATGTGGTAGCAAGAGACCCTAAAAAAATGGCCTCTCAAAAATTGTTCATTTTCACCTCTAATATCCCACCCCAGAGTTCATTTACATACCTCATACATTCAGCAGTCATTTACGAAGCCTAATGATCGACTTGAGACAGACCACACCAAAAAAAATGTGAAAAATCTTGACGATTTCGGTGGCTTGTCCGTAAAAAAAATGCCAGTTCCAACGGTTGTCGTCCATTTTGATTTGCTAACTATGTAAATGCATGCATCACGTGATGACATCGAAAAAAATCTGCACGCGCGATGTATGTGGGTGCCACACCGCTTTCAGGCGCCGCAAGTGAGTTCAATATTCGTCTGGTGCGTTGTCGAGAGCATTCTCGTTGTCTTGCTTTCCGCGACAACGCACCAGACGAAAATTGAACTTTCAGTAACAACCACACCAACAAGTTCGTCCAAACTTTCTATATAGCAATCTATAAGGCCAAAAAAAAATAATATAGTTCTGGGTCATTCCATGCCAACTCAACAAATGGTGCACACCATCACCTCTTGGATTTTTTTCTTTTTTGGTGTACTGAAAGATACTTAGGAGAAATGCAAATTCTGAAAATTTGGGGTCTCTACGACTTTTCGTTCTTGCGCAACAGCATTTTGAAATTTGAGGTGGGCGGGGCCAAAAGTGCGTCGCGTCATGAAATTCAATGTTTAAAGGGCCATATATTTAAAACTATACCACCCAGACATTTGAAACTTGGTAATCTGGGCTATTTTTTGCTGTAGATTTCAAATATTTAAACAGAAAGAAAGTAGCTTGTTTCATTTTTAAGTTAGAGGGGCCCCAAAATGGCCCAAAACTCATCTGGACCAATGTTCGGGGGGGTGTAAGTCAAAAATTGAAAATATTTTTTTCACCAAATTTTTTGCCTGTAATAGCCCCCAATTGAAACTACTTTCATGTAAAATCTTACACTTATATTAACTTCATTGAATGAGATATAGCCCTTGCAAAAAGCAAATTGTTTATTTTTACGATAACTTGACCCCCCCAAAAACCAACGTCAGACATTCCGCACCAAATTTTGCTTCACATATGTTTGAGGTTGGTCCTTAGTGAAGTCCTCTGAAAAGTTTCATGTTGGTGTCTAAATGTCTTCAGTGGATAGTTGGGCTTTATAAAGAGTCTATATCTTATGATGCTGCAGGTTCCGTAACATACAAGTACACGTACCGGTACCTAGAATAACAGCAGTCGGTACATAAAGAACAAGTTGGGTATGAAACTTGGCTTACATTTGTACATGTAGACTTTTGATCAGTTGATATAATTGTTTACAGTTTCACAGGTGAAATTATGCATTCCTTGTGATGTAGTTTTGATGAAGTTGAGTGAGTTGCATAATGGCTGGCTCACTAAGGTTGTATTGCCTTCCACCGCTATGTAGAAGTTCTGGTGTTGGTACGCAACACAACACATCAACAAATGGAATGTTACATTTATCCTCTCTTTGTGGCCAATAGAGAGTATTTGTTGATTCCGTCCTGTACATGAAGCGGACATACACATCCTCATGAAGTTGTGATACATCTTCTACAATAGCAATGTACCAAACATCATGCATAGACCACACAAACATATTTTCCTGGGTTGAGGTCAGCTGCTACAATTGGTGCATGATGAGTTTGAGCATGCCATACATGCAACTCCTTGGATGAACTAGGTTTCCCCTTATCCATAATGAAAACTAAGATCAATCAGGTTAAAACCATAGACCCTCTACTCAAACTGAATCATTTCTCTTTGGTTCAGGCTAGTGCTATACTATGCTGTGCAAGTGAGAACTGGTTAATTACTACATACATGACATGCATGCTGTGTGATGAGCACATGGAAAGAATAAGACTCTCAAGTCATTTAACCTAATTTGCATATAATGCACATGTAGGTCTACAAGCAACTGTTTATTGAGCAGGAAATGGGTAGTCTTGACCCAAGTCTTTCAACAGTCGGGGGATTTTGTTGTGCTGGTTCCCTAAAATACAAGTACATGTGCATGTACATGTACATGTACATGTATGTATGTTAAGGAACCTGCAGCATCATAAGATATAGACTCTTTATAAAGCCCAACTATCCACTGAAGACATTTAGACACCAACATGAAACTTTTCAGAGGACTTCACTAAGGACCAACCTCAAACATATGTGAAGCAAAATTTGGTGTGGAATGTCTGACGTTGGTTTTTGGGGGGGTCAAGTTATCGTAAAAATAAACAATTTGCTTTTTGCAAGGGCTATATCTCATTCAATGAAGTTAATATAAGTGTAAGATTTTACATGAAAGTAGTTTCAATTGGGGGCTATTACAGGCAAAAAATTTGGTGGAAAAAATATTTTAAGTTTTTGACTTACACCCCCACCGAACATTGGTCCAGATGAGTTTTGGGCCATTTTGGGGCCCCTCTAACGTAAATGTGAAACAAGCTACTTTCTTTCTGTTAAAATATTTGAAATCTACAACAACAAATAGCCCAGATTACCAAGTTTCAAATGTCTGGGTGGTATAGTTTTAAATATATGGCCCTTTAAACGTTGAATTTCATGACGCGACGCACTTTTGGCCCCGCCCACCTCAAATTTCAAAATGCTGTTGCGCAAGAACGAAAAGTCGTAGAGACCCCAAATTTTCAGAATTTGCATTTCTCCTAAGTATCTTTCAGTACACCAAAAAAGAAAAAATCCAAGAGGTGATGGTGTGCACCATTTGTTGAGTTGGCATGGAATGACCCTACTGCTTCCGGTTACCCTACCTACCATATTTTGACAGCCCTACCCTAATTTTTCAGGGGAAAATGAGGGGAAAAAACCGAAACCATCAATTACCTTTTGCCCTTGACTACACGCAGACACCTCCATATGATCGTTAAATTGCCAAAAAACAAACAAAACCCTACCTACCTACCCTATTTTCAAATGCCATTTAATCGGAAGCAGAACTATTTTTATTTTCGCCTAATCTTTGGATTACCTATTTTGATTCACCCTGTAAATAGCATGGACTTTGCTTGAGACAACATTTGTATGTCGTTTTATTCATATATTAGATGCTTGGTGTCAAAAGTCCTTCAAGACAACGTAACGCAACGTCTCCCATTGAAACCAGAACATCTCGCAAGAGGAGACTAACTGCTTCTGGGGACTCAGGTGGAGCATCACTTGATGCATCACTAGATGCATCACAAAGGTAATATCATTTTTCTCAGAGATTATTTTTTTCAAAGACTTGCCGTGTAAGATTAGCATATGGGAGAATATAATATTAGCATAGACCCTTGCGAAGGGTCTATTACATAGACTAACCAGTAATAGCTGTCCACCATGAAACATTAAACACCCTTTTTATATGATGTTGATTGTTGATTTAGAAGACGGAGAAGGTATTTTTTTTTTACTTGTAGAACTATAGTATGAAAGTTGCATTAACTTGTCATTACTATATTGTCATAGGAAACGACAAAGATCAAGTGAAAATGACTTCGAGGAAGATTCACCTACCTTCTCTGCAAAGTGTTTTTACAGCCCCAAAGGACGTGGCGGGTATCAGACACCACTTGAACGACAGAAGAGACGAGAAGAGCTTGGAGAAATACTTCCCTCCAAACCACCTGTAGAAACAGACAAGAAGATCAAGAAGACCAGGAAGGTTCCAACCTACACAACCCATACAAGAAGAGGTGCTCATCGGCCTAAAAGAAGCAGTAAAACAGTGCCGAAAGATAAGACACAATCTGCTGAGGCAAGCAAGGCTGTTGACAGAAGGGACAGGTCGCAAGCAAGCCTTGATGAGTCTACAGCATCAGAGAAATCATCAAACAAATCACCAGACAAATCACCGAACAAGAAACAAAACAACAGAACCTCTAGAAAGAGACCACCGAGCAAAAGGACACCAAGAAAGAGTCCAAGAAAAGGAGTCAAGAAGGCGGTTAAACTCTACATCCAAGGAATGAAGAAAAATCCCAAGGCTGCTAAGAAACAGACCACTAAGAGTACGCAGAAAAATATCAAAGTGAAGAGGGATCAGCAAGAAGTAGAACATGAGGAAGAGCATCCTGTAATGCCAAAGGGAGTCTCAAAGAAACTAGAGGTCGACTTTGTAGATGATGCCAATCAGACAGGTTCGGAAGGAATGACGGCTAACGATAAAGATTCAAATGTCATTGAATCATCACCTAAATCAACAATGAAGAAACGTAGCATGAAATTGAAGGATGAGAGTGAATGTGTTGTGCCAGTGAAAGCTGCACGTCAGTCACCGTGCAAGTCTCCAAGAACCTCCCCCATAGATCAAACCAAAGAGCTCGGTGACAAGCCTGAAGATAAGTACAACTTTCTTGAAGGATTTGAACCAGAAACACCAGAGTCAGTGGCATCTCAGATCGCTAAGAAAGGTGAGTTCTTTTTGCGCCTTGAAAAATCTTTTCTTGGGAATGCTACTGTGCTTGTCTCTGTAGCTTTCTAAAAGTTCTTATACGCATATGCCCTGTTGCTCTTCAATATGATTTTCGAAAATGTGAGATTTTGGAACATTTCAAGTTTGTTGTTGAAGGGACGGGAACCTAAGGCAGTGCACTGAACAAAGAAAAAGCAGCAGCAACAGTTGGAATATCGAAAGCATGGAGAAATGATGAGATCTGAACCAAATTTCATGGCTGTGCTGACCAAGAAATTCTTCCCTTACAATAACCAGTATGTACTTACAACGCCAACGCATTAAAGTAAAAAGTAAAATTTGTCACGAGCCTATGTGGCCCATCAGGCTGGCGTTTATCTCTGGTTTCAGTAGTATGAAACGGCTGAGAACATATCTATTCCCCCTGGATAGGATGCTAGTCCATCACAGGTTACTCCCCAGCTAATGCCGGTACCCATTTATACTCCTGGGTGGAGAGAGGCAAGTGTGGATAAAGTGGCTTGCCCCAGAACACAACACATGGCCAGCAGCTGGATTCGAACTCCTGACCCTCGGATCACGAGTCACGAACCCTAACCACATGGCCACTGTCCCGCACTGCCAACACACTGACACACTAGTTTTGTGTAAACCATGTAAGTGATAACATGTTTTGTGTCATTTGACGCAATGTACAGTATCCCCCAAGAAGACAGCCATGTCTGTACCAGCCTTCATAACTCCTCCCATAAGCCCATCAACCAACAAGACATCAAGCTCTACTACACACAGCCCAGCAACATCAACACCTATACAGCAAAGGAAACTGAATGTTATGAAGAAGATGACAGACAAGGATGGTATGGAGCAGATGACCATGGTAAGAGCGTTGTACACAATTTATTAACTTGAACTAAGAAGTGTTACATGTAGGTGGAATAAATTACCAAAATGACTTGTTTTAAGCAGAAGTATTTGACCACATTAGATGATGAAGCCTCATTAACCCTCCTATGCAAAAGTGCATTCTGTGCCAAGTAGTCGGTTTGAGTCGAAATTAATCAAGTGACTTGTGTTCAACAGTTAGAAGATCCCCTTCTACATAAAGCAGGATCGACTGGGTGTGACTGTTTAACCCTCCTATGCAAAAGTGCATTCTGTGCCAAGTAGTCGGTTTGAGTCGAAATTAATCAAGTGACTTGTGTTCAACAGTTAGAAGATCCCCTTCTACATAAAGCAGGATCGACTGGGTGTGACTGTTTATCTAAGGTGATATCGCATTGCTTTGACTCCCAGTGAATGATAAAATAGCTGTGACCACAACTTGCCTGCTTTGTCTGTTGACCCAGTTTGACTAGTCACAGTGCTTGCTTGACATATGATCTGACTGCTGGGGACTAGCCTTTGTGTAACCCTAAACCCTTGGGTATATTTACTAGAAAGTATCCTGAATCCGCCAAAATTCATCAATTTTGCCATGCACAAACTTTTTTGGCAGCCAGTGAGTCCATCAGAATCCACCAGTTAACCGGGAGTAAATCTGTTGAGATCCTGAATCCATCAAAGTCCCTCAACTGCTCAATATGGAGGTATCCTGAATCCATCAAAATCCTGCAGTACCGCTAGGCTTCATGTCATGACTCCATCAAAATCCCCCAACTTTTTCCATATGGAGGTATCCTGAATCCGCCGAAATCACCTGTAACAGGGGTGTGGATTTTGGTGGATTTTGATGGATTCAGGTACGTTAGGGTTAAAGTACAGCAGGGGAAATTGGATGGACATTTTTACTGTCTGTGACTGTTTAAATAGCAGGAGGGTTACTCATTTTGTTGTATCAGTCACAGACAGTCAAAAATTCAATCCTGTTCCCCCGCCACGTTCTCACACAGGCTAGTCACCAACAGTCGGATCATATTTCTTGTAGGCACTGAGACAGTCAAATTCCATCAACAGACAAAACAGGTAACTGGTAGGCACAGCTGGCTTATCAATCTCCTACAGTCGAAGGTCCCCCCCCCCCCCCCCCCCCCCCCCCCCCCCCGGAATGGCATACTTCACTACCCTAAGACTCAAACCACATATACCAATGCATGGAGAATCTTTTTAGAAGAAAAATTAAACCAAGATGGTCCGATTCGGTCTAGTAGTTTTTGTTCTAGAGCCTATTTTGTGAAGCAAGGTGGGGTCATTTTTGTCCCGATGAATTACTAAACCGTGCCCGGGAATTTGACTTATATTGTAATTGATAACGGGATTGTTATGTGATAATACCCACATGAAAGAAGTGTGCTTCACAAAATAGCTTTGCAGCAAAGACTACTGGACCGAGTCAGGAGATAGTGTTTTCATAATTCTTCTAAAATTCTTCGAAAAAATTCTTCTAAAATGATGGATTTTCCATCATTTGGTACCGCATTGGTACAGGCGGTTAGAGTCTCAAGGAAGTGGAAGTATGCCATTCCCCTTTTTTTGGACCACCCTGTATTGGGATTCATAACAATCACAGCCAGTCAATCCTGCTTAATCTATGCAGGGAGCGCTCAACTGTTAAAAACAGTCACCTGATTTATTCTGACTGCTGGGCTGGCCTTGTTGAAATTGCCAGCTAGAGAGGGAGGGTTAACCAATCTTTATTGAACAAACCAAAACAGAAACTGCTCTCTGTTAGATAAGATTATTCAATTCGGCAAGGGTACAGATTATTTATCAGAGAAAGTATTGGCGGAATATGAGCCTAAAAAGAAACTATTACCATTATGTATATATGAATTGCTTTAACTGAAGGATTTAGGGCAGAAGCGGTTTGGAGCAACCTCATGTGAGATGTGTGGCATGGTATATACAGCAGCACACCCTGAAGATGAAGCCAGCCATGACAAGTTCCATCGCAAATACCTCACCTCTATCAAGTTTCCTGTAAGTAGGTAACCACACACCTTTGGCTGCTAACAAATATCAGCGATCAAAGTTTGTGCTTTTTGACATAAAATTAATCTTTAACCCTAACTCCCTAGGCCTTTGTGCTAGGATTTTAGCCTCAATCCTGCAAAATCCTCCAATTGGCCTCATGAAAAAATAGCATATAACCTCAATCCTGCAAATTCCTCCATTATTTCTTGAATATGGTCCGTGGAGGGCTGACCACTGCCTGAATCCTGCAAAATCCTGCGGCAGTGACTGTCAATATGTTGAGGCTTGGCCAGTGACATCCTGGAGCAGTACGGAGGATTTCAAGCATAATCCAGGCCTATATCTGTGCGAAAAAACAACACAAGGTCCGGCCCAAGACCTTGACAAAGTGCATCTTACGCAATCAGTAATGCACTTTGCCATGTAACCTCAATACTCCAAATTCCTCCACTTTGGCAAAGAGGATTATGAAGGATTCATGGCGGTTAGGGTTTTTAAGGTTCTAAATAATAGAGGCCGAGCCATGATCTTAAACTTCATATTTAGCAGCTTACCGGGCTGGTATACATTTTGCAGGCAAGCAAAAAGATAAAAAGTAAATTAATTTTGTTTAGAAAATTCAGATGTAGTACTTTTATTGAAATTTGTTACTGCTCATTAGATTATATGTTTTTAAACAGGTGAGTTGAATAACAACCAGGTACATGTACATGTAGTTGCCTATTTGTTTACGAGCCCATTGTGCAAGTAAAGAAGTGGTTATTACCTGCAGTTGTTTTTATTAGACAATGTATGTGGTGTTATACCACAGTAATAAATTGTGAATTTTTATTGGTCGAGAGTGGATCACGTGACATGCCACAAAAACGCATGAGTGATGTACGCCGTACATTACCTTGATCTTTCCCCCTGTTAAGTGTCGTTTCAACCGCGTTGTATTTTATTAGTGTGACCTCCGGTACGAGGGAGGTTGTAGCTACGCTGGTACTATGTAAATTGATGCATGTTCCTGTAAGATGTGCCATAGGGGACAGTGAAACACTATTTCTGCTACGACTGACATTGGGGCGCATAGCGCCCTCGGCAAAGCTATGCGTCCCTCGGGTGTTCAAAACGTCATATCCCACATCACAGCGTCAACAATTTGTTTAAGTGTTTATGTTATGCCATTATTTTTTCTGTAATTGTTTTAGGGATGGAAGAAGGAGCGGTTGCTGCAAGAGTTTGATGATGGTCGTATCATCATGGTCCTACATGATGACCATAAGTTTCAAGTCAAGAAGGTGAGTAGTACAATTCACTGTGAAGTGTGTTTTCCTTTAAACTTCATGGATTTCCAAGTGGTTGACTTTCAATGCATCACATTGTTTTGACACTCTTATTTCTTCCAGTATACCCTAGTCCATACATGCTATTTTAAGCATGTATTTTTGACCAATTTTGATCGTAAGTCGGTATCGTAATATATAATTTTTTTTTCTAAATAACCAATAAAATTGTGTGGGTTCGCAATTTATCGCTTTCAAAAATAGGGTCGGTCGAGTGACCCGAACCAAAGGTATTTTTTTGTTTGGGTTAACGATTACCAGTGTTGCGGCGTGTACATGTATGCTTCACAAATTTGAGACTGAAATTAATTCCCCAGATAATTTTAAGAAATCTGAAATAGTCTTCACTTCGGTTTATATGTGAGATCTGAATTGGCCTTAGTACATGACTTGACATTCCTACTGTTTGATCAGTCACAGACAGTTGGAAGTACAATCCATTTCCACTCCCATAACTTATACACAGGCTAGTCACGAACAGTCCGATCATATTTCAAGCAAGCACTGTGACTAGTCAATTCCCGTATACAGACAAAAGCAAGTAACTGATAGGTACAGCTGGCTTATCAATCAACTGCAGTCAAAGCATAGCTTTATCAAGTTACATAAGCAGTCACATCCAGTCAATCCTACTTTACGTAGGCCGGGAGCACTTAACTTTTTAAAACAGTCGTTTGATTGACTTTTTACTGCTGGCTGGCTTTATTAAATTTTGCCAGCTAGAGAGTTGGGTGAATTAATAAATGTAGACTTATGATTTCTGTAAATCTAGGTAGAGGAGATCAGACAGCTGGTTGATCAAGAGCTTGGTTTCCTACAAGGAGGTGAAGTTGCTTGCAAGACATCTTCCAAGGTAGGACTCTTGTCAGTGTTGTGAAGAGTCACTAAATCTAGTCAAGTCATTCTCGGACAAGTCAGTCCAGTCATTCTAAGGCAGTGATTTGTTTCAAGACAAGTCATTTAAAGATAGACACTTACTGAGTCAAGGCAGTGACTGGATAGTTGTGTTTTGTCATTTTAAAAGCAGTGACTCGTCTTGTCAAGGCATTCTAAGGCATTAACGTGAGTTGAATTTAGGGGTGTGCCTTTATGGGTAGTATGGGAACCGGGTACCGGGAAGTCCAACCCAAAATTCAAATCCCGAAAGTTGCGGTTCAGATTTTTCGTAAAGATCCGCACAATAATGCCGCCAAATCAGTGCATCAATGGAGCAAGATATGAGTGTGTACAGTGACCTTTATAGCTTTATGGTGAAAACTGCAACTTTCACGAGCGTCATAAATGTGAATTATGTTTTTTTTTTCCCATGTAGCCTGGCCTTCATTTTGAAAATTCCCGACAAATGACATTCATAACCTTCCTTTTTCATTGTCTGAGAAGTTACTAAGTAATTTGTAAAGTTGGTTACGGGTACCTGATCCCATAATCTAGAACCGGTTCCTTACATCAACGGTCAGGTACCTGGTTCCAATGCACAGCCCTAGTTGAATTAGGTCATCAAGATTGAGTCTATCTGAGTCACCAAGTATGGTTGAATCATATATCACATTCTTGCTCAAGTCAATGTGATTCACTGGTATTTGAATGCCATCACATAAACTGGAGTCAGGATAAGTTTTAGCAATTCTGTCTTATTTTTTTGTAAAATGGCAATTCCTTTTATTATCTGTAAGTCTCCCAATCTAGCCCTGGCTGTGCCTGTTCCCCCTGCTCTAATTGGTTCAAATAACAGAGAGACTGTAGCTACATGTAGGCTTGAGTAGGTCTAAGTCTGAGAGCAACTCGTCCCTGAGTTGAGCTTTATGGGGTCTTAGGAGGAGTCCTTGACCACACACACTTCTGAGGGACCCCAAAGTAAATGTATTGGTGCGTATGTGATGTAGCCTGGTTCTGGGATAATAATTTCTGTAAAAAATATGTTGATGGAAAAGTCCATGATTCAGTGTATAAGTCAGGCATGAAACTTTTCCTCAGATCCGCTGATTTCATCATTTGTACTTCTCATGAATGCAATTACAAATTGAAAAACACTGTACAACTTCTAGTTTGGTTTGGAGTTTCCTCGTTTTTCCCCCCAAATTGCCAGTTGCATGCCTGATAAGTGCAAGCCCTACAGCTTGACAGTAGTCTCCACAAGTTTACTTACTCATAATGAATCAACTGTTAATAGGCCTAAACTTGAGTCAGTTCATTAGTTGAGTCATTTGCCTGCAATGACACAAGTTGAGTCAAGTTAGTCAAGTCTCTCAAATTGTTGCAAGACTCTCAGTTTTTTGGTCCAGTCAAAAGATTAGACAGTTAATAAAATGGTGGGTGACTGGCTGAGTATTTGTGGCTATTGTTTTCCGTTGTTAAGCAAAGCAGCCTTTCCTTACAAACAGTGATAGAGACAAAAATCTGATTGCTTTGATCTTTGAACTCTGAAGCAGAGAGATATAAATCACACTGACACAATTGTTTTTTCCTTTCATGTACAGGTACTCTTGTATATAACAACAGAGAAGAAAGTGGCTGGCTGTCTGATTGCCGAGGAGATTAGCCAGGTAATAATAAAAACAAAACAATTGTATCATTGTTACATGTACTTTATTATTATAAAGAAATAAAGAATTACCCTACAGCTTTTTAAGCATGGTTCACAAACCTCTCAAGTCTGATGAAATATCTATGAGTTAAACAATCCCAGACAACCCAAGGAATCAGGTAGGAAGTCGAAGCTCAATCCACTTGTCAGCCTAGACTGATTCAAAACTAGAGCATAAAGGTGGTTTCCTATGAAACTACAAAGTCCACCGGACCACCCCAAACTTTGTGTCAAATCAGAATTCGTATTTAGCAGAGCGCCAGTTTACCATTAATTGTACACAAATGGTAACCCAAGTTTTTGATTATTTTTATGATTACATTGCTAGTACGTAGTGCAACATAACATCGACATCGTTACACTTCATCCCAACTCATAATTAAACCGTAATTACAAAAGCAAGACTTGTCTTCGAAGCTTGTAGAGGTTCATTGTAAAAGGTTCACAAGGTTTCAAATGAACTATGAGCAATGCATGATCCGTGCTGATTTAGTTGTTGCTTGGAGTACACAATTTTGAAATGGATGTTTACACAATTTGAAATGGACTATCTTGCGTATTACAGAAATGTTCTGTACATTTGGAGCATTATTGATAAAGTCTTTCTGATTTCTTCATTGCAAGGGTTACCGTGTCATAGCAGATTCAAGCACAGGTCAGAGGTCAAGTGAAGAGCAGGAGTTGTTTGAGCAGCAGCGTGCATGGTGTTGTGAGACCAAACCAGAGCGTGCAGTATGTGGTGTCAGTCGCATCTGGGTTGCTAGTCAGGAACGACGCAAACAGATCGCTACAAAGCTTCTGGATTGCCTTAGGTAGGTAATAAATCTAAATCTGCTGGGGGGGGGGGGGCCGATAATGTAACAAAAATTTATTGATAGTGTAGTCAAATTTACTACACATGTTGTTACATTATCGGTCGTAACTGATATGTTAACAAAAATTGACTGATAGTGTAGTAACATTTGCTACACTATCAGTAAATGTTTGTTACAGTATCGGTTAGTGATACAATATCAGTTGATTTGGTGACATTATCGGTTGGTGATACATTAACCGTTGGTTACTACTTTATCAATTGTAACACAGGCTACTCAGCTGTACTCCAGCTCTTATAAAACAAATAACTCAACTATTGATTTGGGAATAGAGTGAATTAAATGAACCTAATTTACACAGAATATGAAGCTCCCCCACAGTGACTAGATAATGATTGTCATGATTTGGTTGATCAGGGACTCGGCCATGCTATGGTAGCCCACCACACATGCTGGTATAAAGACTCCCTCCCTATACAGCAGCCACTGTGGAAAAGAGAGCGACGCTTAGCATGCCTGCCGTGACTTATATAGGGCGCGCACTGTAAGCTGGTGCCCCTGCACCCTGTGTGAAAGCATGAGCACCCTGCTGGCTACCAGCAAGGGACTGAAATGCACCCTCACTGCTTTGCTATTCTCACTAGACTGCATTGTGCTAATGAGGACGTTTCATGCATAGTATCTTTTTTATAGACGGAATTCCATTGGATTGAGTCGAATATATGGCCATGCTAGCTGTGCATTTGAACATAAAAAAAATCCCCAGGTGTCATTGCAGAACTAGCCTTTAGTCAAGTCCCACGCGCTTACCCGGACACGTGACGCACCCCGGATGCTGACACGTAAAAAGACTAGGACGAGCGGCGTAGCTGGGAGGGCCTTTACCATCTCGTGGAGAACGCTTATGTTTTTCTTTACATTTGTCTACCGATTTGGTAGACATGCATAATGCATTACCAGTTGTGAATTGACCAATGAAAATGCAGAATTACTAACGTAAATCATGCAGCCGTCGTCTGGTGCCAGCCATTGCGCACGTGCTGTTGCTGGTAACCGCAAACCACCGTTAGATGATTGGCTTATATTGCTTGATTTATATGACGTGAATAAATGAATAAGTGATTAGTTCCACGAGATAGTAAATGCCCTCGCGGCTTTGCCGCTCGTGCTAGTCTTTTTACGTGCCAGCATCCAGGGTGCGTTACGTGTCCGGATAGTCCGGGTATAGGTGCGTGGGACTTGACTAAAGGCTATTGCAGAACCAGATTTAATCTGACTTTTGTGCAAGTCAAATAAGTATTGTGTGTGAGCTTTAGTTTGCTCATTTCTTACTAGTGTGATTTTGCCTTTGTAAAAGTTCATTCTAGATATGGCCATCATTGGTTCGCGCGGTGGTTTCGTTATGACTGTTGTGAATCTGTGCCATAATTGGCCTGATTCTCCTCATTAAAGTGAAAATAGGCCCAACTGTGGTTGCAACTGGTGTGGTGACAATCTGCTGAAAGGCAGTGAACCAATTGCAGTTATTAATTTGTGAAAATGTTCTATAAAGTAGGATGTAAAATTGCTGTCTGAGATCATGAGTGTTAAACATTTTTGAAATGTGTCATTAAGGAATGCACATGAACCGTTGTGGAAGAAGTGACCTTGACCTGGGGAGGAGATGACGTACTAATTTAGCATATATCTGCTAAAATTTGATAACAGTATTGGTTACAAATGTTTGATGTGGTTTCAGACCTTTCCAGAACTTTCTTGGCAACAATGTGCACTCATCAAAAACATCACAAAATGGGTTCAGTTTAGAAATGTTGGCTAATCCACTTTACGTAGCTGGCAAGTGGGCGATAAGCTCTGCTCATAGTTGTTGTATCATCACTACACTGTGTGTACATGTACATATTCAACACCACTGATTGGTTGTAAATGGAATTCAAGTGCAGTCCAGTTGGCATTTTGTCAGGCACAAGTAGTCACTTAAAATTAACCTGTACTGTATTTCTTGTTTCTCCTAAATGTAATCTTGAACTAAACTATTTCTTGAATCTATTTTATGACCTGTATAAACTAGAGTGAAATGAATTCCACATTCTATTTCTTTTTGGTACAAGTGTGAGTGAACGTTTGTTACCTATCTGATCAAAATTGGTGTATGCAGGAATACATTCTGGACGATAATAGAGTCTTTTCTCACTTTCCATGCCCTAGGAATTACTTCATGTTCGGCACCGTTCTACCCAAAGAGTTGATTGCATTTTCGGATCCTACTCCAGATGGCAAAATGCTGGCCACTGCCTACATGAAGACTCCACGATTCCTGGTGTACAAGTACCACTGATAAGTCATTCATTGGATCCAGCAGTAGTACCAGCCAGTTAACTGTACACATACTTGTAACTGTTGTACAATTATTTTGTAAACATATTAGTACATTAAGACTGTTTGCGATAGCTTTTTTAAGAAGCGCTTTTAATCCCTTGAAAGTGTGATGTAATTGATAAGGTTTGATATTGTGATCTACGTAGACATTGAAGATTATTACAGGATTTCACATGAATCATGCAAGCATCATGGCTGTTTTAACTACACTGAGAAAGGACAGTGTGTGCGCGATTATGCGGCACACCATTTTAGGGCGACCTTTTTGTTTTCTAACGCTTAAGTTGATTTCCTGCACTGTTTTGATTATCTTACATGGTGCTTGAAGACCTGTCTGTTTTTACTTGAGATTTAAATTTCAGCATTCTTTGTTAAGCTTTCTTTCTTTGTACTGTAGTACTGTTCTGAAAAAAACTATCTATGTAGATGTGATCAAACAAACTTGATTAAACCAAGATTAAACTTTAAAAGTTTGATAAACGACAAAAACATTGAATTATGGCTTCCATAATCTGGTTTTTTTTATGAGAGAGATGCAAATATTATGCAATTATTTTTGCTGAAAATTTTGATTTTTGCAAAAGGCCATATCTTTCAGTCAAATACTGATTTGCAAGAGTCATTTCAACAGTATTTGTACGATATTTCTGGTCAAAACCTCATGTTTTAATACTCTGAGGTGTGCACTGGAGCATAAATTGTCAAACAATAGGCCGTGCACAATGGCCAATTCAAGATCAACAACCGGGTTCGCACACACAGACTTTATGTGTTTGTACAAAAGACATAAGTGATTAGCATGTTTAGACGTCACCCGGAGGCGAGTTGAGGCAATCTTGGCGTTTTGACCAGTCAGCTGTGCCTGTATATAAACACAGCCAGTGCGTGTTATCACGTCCTCCGATGCAACCTGGCATGCTTTGTATGCAACTTTGACCAGTAAGGAAGGCAACTGGCTTGTATTGAATACAGTAATAAGTTTGAGATGGAAGGATAAGGGCTAAAACAAAGCGACCAGTTGCAAACTAGGCAATTGCCCTACTGTAACAAGCAGAAACTGTGCCATTGTTTTGTATGTTTCCATTGAATGATAGACTAATTGTGAAGAACTGGTGTTTGCCTTAATTTAAACTTACTTTGGACACTTACATTTATGTATAATAAAGTGTCTTTTGATTATTGTTTTTGCCACAACGACATTGACACAGTGTCACTTTTGTACAAGACTTAACGCTCCATTTTTATGAGGGCAAAGACTGACTTTTGAATTGCATGTTAATTGTTTGAAAATAATTAAGGTTGTTTTTCATAATGTTAGTAGCTCTTTGTCACTGGGCCATATACGTGGTAGAAAGGCTATCCCATCGTACAAAAACAACCATGTAAATCTGACCCACAATACATGTATTTGTGTTTTCTGCCAATGGCTTCAATATAGTTTGATTAGCAAAGATTTGACAATGCAAATGTTGCCCTTCCAGTCTTGGATCTTGCCATGTGTTGACCTTTACCTATCACAGCAGAATCGTGTCAACGCGGCTTGTGAAACGTTGTCCAATTACATAATTATCGTCAATCCCTCATGAGCAGCTATATGCAAAAGACATAGACCATTTTACTCAAAATTAGGTTCAATGGCTGCATTGAGGTACTAGATCAGTGATCGTACTTCATTTCACATGTTTAAAACCAAAGCCAGTTTTGTCCTGTATTGTTTATTAGATTGATGTTAGCATTGTCAAAACATGTATTTGATTTTTTTAGGTTATATTTAACTGATTGGTACCATACATGTGTGAATACTTTTCCTTTATCTCAAACCCTCCGTCAAAAATGTCAAGAGTCCACATACTTCCCTGTCAAAAGAAATTAAAAGAAGTTAGAAGTATAAATTGAAAGCACATGTGTACATGTATATCAGGTGTAAGGTGAACGCATCGAAGGTCCAAGATACAAGACAAGTTTTATCAATTATCATTTCTCGACTAAAAGTTACAAAAAATAGTTCACTTCATTATATAGGTAAATAAAGACTAAGATGTATAAAACTAGCAGTTATTTCTAACATGAAATAAAAAGTTACTCTTGAGAAAAATGTTTGGTGCCAATTGTTTTCATGTCGTTGATTGCGTTAGCAAAGAAATGACGCAAAAAAGTAGTTCTATATCAGTTGTTTTGGCTTCAGTATTGGGTCATGTCATAACAGCATCAGTCCTATAATGTCATATACAGAATGTCTACAAAAAAAACCCCGCGAACTCTCAAAGCGTCCTCTTTTAAACAAGAACATTGCAAATATCTGTACATATTTAGAGTATAGTCCCTTATCTTTTTCAGCAACGAACTAATCTATTAAATTGGGTAAATTCACTGAAGTAAGTACCACTTTTTGTCCATGGCGACTGATATTTTGACTGCCGCAATAAGAACACGGACCGAAACTTGCATTTGTGAAAAAAGGCTGCCAAGTAGAGGGCAGAGGCAGAGAGCAGCACAGTAAACATCGAAGAAGTCCTTGTCATAACTCATGACTACCAGTCCTTTTCATAACTACCATCACTTATAAAAGGATAAATTACCATTGTTGGAAAAGTAAAAAATAATCTGAACCAAATAAGGAAAGAAAGAAAGATTAAAGCATGAAAAAAGCAAACCTACCCTCACCCCAAATCCATTACATTCCTAACAACTGACAATTGAGACCGTGGACAGATTGAAAAACGGGCACTTATTTTGAATTGGCCAGAACTCAATAAATATTTACCCGATTGGAAAGATTTGTCGTTGAAAAGCTAATGGACTATAGGCCTACTCTCTAAAGATGTATAGATATTTGCAATGATTTTTTTTTTAAAAGCTGTGAAAATGAGGGCACTTTGAGGGTTCAGAGTTTTTTTTTTAGACGCCCTGCAGGGTGTCACAAATCTTCAATTTTCCGAATTTTGAGTAAAGGAACTGACGACTGTTGTTTTCATTTTCATTTTGTATTAGTTTTTATACTAAAGGTGCCAATAAAAAAAGGCTGTTAAATAAAGGGTTTTTTGTGTACCTACAATTGGGAAAAATCCAAAAAATATCGTTAAGCAATTAACAGCATGTCTCCCGTGATTTTCCACCTGGCGATGTTTTTATCTGCAGCACACGTGACATCTTCAGTGGTCAAGATTATTCAGCTAGTTCGATGTTTATGCATAAGAAAATAACAATGGTGTCACACCATTGCTTCATTCTTCATTCAGTCATGCATGTACATACTAAGCATTTAAAAGAACGTTCGTCGAACTGCCACAGTGGCCTAGTGGATAGTGGAATGAACTATGGATCGCAAGATCTGTGTTTCGAAACTTCGAAGCCATGTTCATTTTCATCAAATATGTTTGTTGGTTGGGACAAGTTTAATTGAAGGGAAAACACTACGAGAACTTAAGTGTCCTCGAACCACACAGCGTGATAAATATTCATGTTGGGGTGCGTGATGTGATTGGTTAAAATGCGATGTATGCTGCAAAAAAGGGGGGCGGGACACGTTTTCCCTGGCGGGGGAGGGAAGAGAAAAGAAAAGAAAAGTGCATTGTTTAAGTCAATCTCGTCTTGTTAATTTCTCTTATTTAAATAAACCATCGGAAATGGTCCATGAACGAAGCTCTGTAGGCCTGTAACTATAAAAAGCGATTTCAATATTTGTAAATTATTTGGTATAACGGTGTGTGTTCTTTCAGCAAAACGCAAACAATTCACACACATGTGATTTGTTTTCGTTTTGCTGAAAGAACCTTGAAATTTTTTTGTGCTCCGTGGACAGAACCTTAAAACGGCGGTTGTGTTTAAAACTCCGTATAACCTGAAAAGTACATAAGTGATCTGCATCATTCTTGTACTAAAAAGAAAGCTTATGAATTGGACTTTCATATCCTAGATTTTGAAAGTGCTACATGCAGAACTTCACTAAAACAATGGGCCCGACATTTGGGTTGTTTTTTTTACTCACCCTGTATATACATGTACACAAACAAACGCAACGAAGAGACCGACATAATAAACATTCATTATCATGGTTACAGATCTCTATCCGGTAGAAACAGCAAGTAAGTATAGCTAGCTACAAACACAATCTCACATTGCTGATGTTCGTTTCGTATACCTGATATTGCAACATTACTCATGACTTCAATGTGCATATAGTAAAATGTGCAGAATGCAGTGTCTATTACGAGACAAAACCCACACAAACAAACGCAGCAAGGAGACTCGCGGTGAAAGGTCTTCCATCCGGTAGAAACAGGAAGTAAATAGTAGCTACACAAACAATCTCACACATAATTTCCTCTTCAAATTCTATAAAGTGGTGAGGCACTACGTGCAGTTTGTAGAAGCTCGCATTTTAGTCCCTTTAGTTTTAATGTGTTAGTGAACGAAAGCAAATGACACTGAACGGCTGCTTTTGAACTCGACGTAACGTTGTTTGAAGGATAGTAATACCACGGTCGTGATTGCATCGCAAGGAACACCAGTTATGTTTCAGTTCTGCGCATATCTGGTGTTTTTGTCGCTCTTAATTTGGAAGACATCAGCCGATTACAGAAGTAAGTATCGCAAAGTGACACGATGTCATGAATGCCATGCAGCACATGAATATATTATGATAGACGATGCGGCTATAATATGACTGAATTTTTTTGTGATCTGTGGACAAAACATGAAAACGGTGGTTGTGTTTAAAATTCCTTAACTTGAAAAGTACATTGAGTGATTTGAATTATTCTTGTACTATAAGAAAGCTTATGAATTGGGTTTTCATACCCTAGATTTTGAAAGTGTTACATGCAGAACTTCACTCAAACAATGGTCCCAACATTTGGGTTTCGGTCTTTTTTCACTCACCCTGTATTTGGTTTCATCCTCAAGGTTTTTTTTTTTTTTTGGGGGGGGGGGAGGGGGGATCAGCTCGAGGCACTTGGAGTTCGTATTTCACAAGTACAATGTGTGTATAACAGTGAATATAAATACATTGGAAACCCAACAATTTCGACTAGTTTGTGAATGAATTTGTAAGCAGTGCATAGGCACGGTTTATATATAATGGTGTTAAGTTTTTCTCCCCAAAACTGTACCAGCCTTGACCCAGGGAAGGCTCACACCGCTTTTTGTGCATGAAATTCTAATTATACAAAGCGACACGATCGGTCGGGTCCATTCGGTATAAGTTAATTAAAGTGAAAGTGTTGGTTTTTTTCTCCTGAAATATTTCACAGGTTTCCTCATGGATACGTAGTGATGACATTTTGGTTAGGCTGTTGGAAAGATAGGACTATACAGCCGTGTGGTTGCGAAGGCAATAAAGCGTCGGCCGTCAGTGGCGCACCCAAGGGGGCCTCGGGGGGCTTGCCCCCCCCCCCCCCCCCACAAGAGGCTGTCAATTTTTTTTTTTTGGAAGGGGTAATTTTTTTTAGTGCCACGATTTGACCTTGGTGATATATGTATATGACCTATTTTCGAGTAGTATAATAGGGGTGTAAGTGGCGCCACCAACGTCAAAATAGTCCCCCCCCCAAAAAAAAAACCACCCCATTTTTTTTCTGCGGCCAAAAATTTGGGCAAAGTTTTTGAAACAATTTAACTTCTTTGAAACATTTAAATTTTTGTTTGAGGCCCCCCCCCCGGCCAAATCTTTGGTGCGCCACTGTCGGCCGTTGAAAAGCAAAGTTAATCTGATTAGGGCCTACGTACTTAGGCGCTTTAACAGAGCAGTGAAATTCATATATATAGTACAAGTATTTGGACACTTATATCTGATATGTAAGTATATTCCGAATATCAGCTTAATATGTTGTTGCAACGCTAGTGTTACACCTGGAACTATCTAAAAGGAAATTTCGACAAGGATTTTTGGCATACCAAACCCACCTGTATGGTTTTCAGCATTTTTCAAGATCCTACGGTTGACCGCGATTTTGGCCCCGCAACATAATGACTATTAGCATATTCATTAGCGTCACTCTTCACATGGCGTGGGTCTAGTCTCGGTATCGACCAAAGGAAGCCGGCAAAAGGTTGATGTTTATTTATTAATAACTCGTGAAGGCGGCTTTCCTCCAAAGTTTACTGCACACCATAGGCCTAATGGATAGGAACCTTATTAATTTTCGTGAGGCTTGAAAAGATTGACAGATATTGCAAACGCCATGTGTTACTACTTTCAAAATGCACGTAGCCTCAGGCCTATTTTCCCAATTTCAACGAAAAGTAATGAACATATCTCAACGATTTTTAGCACATACTTAAAGGGATATGTCTGTATGGATGTAGTTTCATTCAAAATAAAGTGCAACGTAACCTTTAGAAATTACGAAAGCCCGTTAGTGCCAACATTTTTTTTTTGGAAAGTTCTTTTTTGTGTTGAAATTTTTTTGGTTTTTTTGCGCGGCCTTTATGAAACCATGGACCAAGAAACGGCACTTCGGCTATGGTCTGAAATCGTTCTTGGACATGAAGTATGGCAATGCCCGCGTACCAAACCTTCGTTCCGTACAGTTTCAAAAAAAAATTCCCCCAAAACACCCAAAATTCCAAAAAAAACCCAACATTTTCCCCCCAAAAAAACTTTCCAAAAAAAATTAAAAAAAATTCTTGGTCCATGGTTTCATAAAGGCCGCGCACTCTATTTTACGGAAGCGTAGAAGGGCCAAAAGAAATTATTTAAGAAAAAATTAGCTCCTATCTCGCCGCGGCGAGTTACCATCTCGCCGCCGCGAGTTACTATGTCGCCGCGGCAAATTACTATTTTGTATCGGTGAGCGTCGGGCACAACAATGGCGATCCCTCCGGGTCCTATGGAACGCCAAAGAGGCATCGGCGTAGCCAGGGTTTTCATCCTAGGGGACTTGGAGTGAGGGGGGGGGGGGCTTGAGGTTACAATGGAGGGGCGCCCCAAACTCCGAGCTGAAAGGCCGTGAGACAGGGTTCCTTCACCGGATATCCGCCCGATACCCGCCCTAGTCTAGTGTCCCACATACCACTCGGCCGGGCCACTATAGATGCACTACATTAATCCGTGTTCTACTCGCGCTCGCGGGATAACTAACTACCACTATTCAATTTCCAAGGAACCGTAATAAACAGCCACTCGCGAAAAAAAATCGCAGAAAATCGCCGGAAAAAATTGACTTAGGCCTATATTCTTCCAGGTAGTCATGGTAACTCATATTGAGGTGTTTTTCTACAGATGCCAAATTTTCAGTGGGGGGGGGGGGCGACTGGGCGAGCGAACTTTTTATGGGGCGGGGCGTGATAGACTTTTGAAATCATTGTTGAAATATCGCAATCGGTCATGGATTTTCGCGATTGGTGATGAACTTTGCAATCGTTGATGAACTTTCACGATGCAGAAACGTCAATACTGGTCATCGATTAAGCTGACCTAAAAGGTGCACGTGGGGAAAATCGTTCTAAAGGTAATTCCCCAATCTTTTTTTTTAGGAATCCCTCACAAGTTGTTATTTTACGAGTAGTTAAACACTTATAATATTCCGAATTTAAGCTTAATATGTTGCAGACGCTTGTGTTACATCTCCTATCACCGAGGTCAAGCTCGGATTTTGCCGAGCAAAAAAAAGCATGGCCAGTGGCCGCTTTTGCCGCAACGTTGACGTATGACATGCGCGTTATTAGCATATTAATTAGCGTGACTCTGCGTGACTTCGCGTGGGCCTCTGTATAGACCAATGTAAACCAACCCAAAAAGTTAATATTGTATTGGTAGAGAACTCGTGAAGGAGGGAGTCGTAAAAAATGACTTTGTAACTGCATTCCATATGGATGGAACCTTATTAATATTCGTGACGCTTAAAAATATTGAAAAATGACGAACTCAAAGCCTATTTTTCTATTGTAATGAAAAATACTGAATAGTAGGATCATGATAGGGAAAGAAACTCCAAAAGTGTCTCTGAGATACGGCCTTCAAAACGGGAGAAATTGATGTTAAAAGATTTTAGCCCGCGAATATCAAAATGTCTGTGTAACGGTAATTTGAGCTTGTTTCATTCAAAATCGGTCGTAACAATCGCAAGGCGGAACATTACAGTAATTACTTTTCTGCCCTCTGAGAGATGCAAATATAATGTTGAATAGTTGGCTGGGTCATCCTCATCCCGTACGCTAATGGACCTGGCATTGCAAGTGGATAAATCACCTGTTGCCGCCCACTGAACTTCGTTTTCTTTCTTAAATTATTCTTAACAAACAAGAAAGGACAACTTTATTATTACATAAATTGTTTCATTTATCGGACGTACTACAGGAGTTATTATAGAATCCAGCCCTGTATGGGTGATTAGGGTGTTAGTTTTGCCAATGTTGATCAAAGATCGCAAAAATCCATCACCACTCGCAAAAATCCATCACCGATTGTGACAGTCAATCATTGATTGCAAAACCCCACTGTGCATCGCCGATTCGTTGATCACATTAAATGCCTCTTTGGCGTTCCATAGGACCCAAGGAGTACCGCTATTCGTCGTGCCTGACGCTCGCCGATGCAAAATAGTAACTCGCCGCGGCAAGATAGTATTTCGCCGCGGCGAGATAGTAACCCGCCGCGGCGAGATAGTAATTCGCCGCAGCTAAATATTAACTCGTCGCGGCGAGATAATAATTTGCAGCGGCGAGATAGTAATTCGCCGCGGCGAGATAGGAACTAACTTTTCTTAATTCCTTTTGGCCCTTCTACGCTTCCGTAAGAAATTATAACCTCTGCATATATGAAACCAGGTTATGTTTTTCTTGCCCACTTAGGTTTAATCTCGTGCAGTTTTGAGTCTGCTTGTGTGTTGAGACAGGACCGGGAAGATGATTTTGACTGGGCCGAAGGTCGGGGGAGAATACAAGGTCAGGGCATGTTTGCACCGTCTGCCGATCATACCTACGGTGATTCTTTCGGTAAGTGTTATTAGTCCACACAAGGGCGGATCCGGGGGGGGGGGGGGGGGGCCAAAGGGGGCCATGCCCCCCCCCCCCCCAAAAAATAAAACGAAACCATTTTTTTTTTAATGTTACATTGCAATAAAGGCAGGCAATGAGTACACCACTATCTTTCCTCAAAAAAACATTGGTTAAAGTGGTCAGAAATTGCCTCAGATCGCACCACAGAGCATCTAGAATCCAAAAATTTTTCGGGGCCCTTAAGTGGGCCCCGAACCCCACGCCGTATTCTTTTGACCCACTTTTTTGGGGGACCAAATTTTTTTTTTGGCCCCCCCCCCCAAAAAAAATTGTGTTCTGGATCCGCCCTTGAGTCCACATGACTGACGTCTACAGGGTGAGTAAAAAAACCCGAAACCCTAATGTCGGGACTATTGTTTTAGTGAAGTTCTGCATGTAGCTTTTTCAAAATCTAGGATATGAAAGCCCAATTCATAAGCTTTCTTTGAGTACAAAAATCATTCAATTCATTCATTTAATTTTCAAGTTACGGAATTTTGAAAACAACCACCGCTTTAAAGTTCTGTTCACGGATCACAAAATAGTGAGTGTGGCTTTCAGCAAAACGAAAACAAATCACATAGGGATGTGTTTGATTTGTTTTCGTTTTGCTCAAAGAAGACGCACCTTTTTTGTGATCCGTTGACAGAACTTTAAAACGGTGTTTAAAATTCCTTAACTTGAAAAGTACAAGTCATTAGGCCTAGTGATTTGAATAATTCTTGTACTGACAGAAAGCTTATGAAATGGGCTTTCGTATCCTAGATTTTGAAAGTGCTACATGCAGAACTTCACTAAACAATAGTTCCGACATTTGGGTTTCCTTTTTTTTTTACTCACTCTGTATAGATTAAACTAGATATGTAAAAGGCTATTTATGTATTGTGAGGCGGCAAACGGCGAGACTTCGCCCGTCGCCGGTCAACTTGTGTAGGCCCTATAACACACATTTTCCGCTTTTTGGTATAATGGTGTTGAGCTGGGCGATTTCGTCTACAGTGCGTCCCAAAATACCCGCAACTTTTTTGCGAGGCTCTAGCGTCGGCGCGAAAACATTCATGTTCAAATAAAGGCATCTCGAAAACTAACTGAACCGATTTCAAGGCAAATCAATAATGCGGTACATCAGATGCAAACTCGAGCCAACCAGCTATTGAAATAAAACGAAATCAGTTGATTTATATTAAAAACATATTGAAATTGAAACGAAGAACAGTATGGTGAATTTATTAAAGGCGTAGTCTATGTGGATCGAAAAGAAAAGGAAGCACAAAGTAAAAGGCAACGAGATCGTCACATCATGAACATGATGAAGCATTTCCACATTAGAAAAAATGCGCATGATTGATTTGCCTTGCGTTTGAGTTTGTTTTGACACGCCTTTATTTCGACACAAATCATTTCAAAACCCTTTTGAAAATGAAACCAATACTTACTAGGAATAAAGTTAGGATTCCAAGTTTTAAAATGATATAAAGATAATGGCGGTACGTGCGCGCTGTGACGCTAGAGCCTCGCAAAAACAAACGTTGCGGTTATTTTTGGGACGCGCTGTACGATCGAGCTGTGAAATACCAAATTGTGTAATTATGAAGGTTCCACAAATTGTGTTTGTCGGTTTTTTTTGTGGCAGGGGTGTATCTATATACACCGTCCGATGCCACACGGGAGGGACAGTCGGCTAAACTGGTATCTGATGAACTGGCAGTGACCACCAACACAACTGTCTTAATTGACTTCGTGTATCATATGTATGACGAGCAAGGGCAAGATAGGTTGGGCTCCCTCATGGTTTACATCAACGATGATTTGGTATGGTCCAGGGCTGGTAACCAAGGATCAACATGGATGAGGGCGCTTGTCAACGCGACATGCAACAGTAGATCACTACAGGTAGCCTGCTCCAGCTCTCTAGGGGGAAATGTATAAGCCTTTTCAGCTATTTTGAAAACGTTTTTGATTCCGAAATTCGTCCAAGAATAATTGCAGATGTTTTTTTTCAACATCGGTTGGTCAAGAATATCATACAGAGTAAAATGGTCTCAACTGTAGGCGAATGCAGATATTAAATTTGTCTGATATCAATCATTCAATCTAAAATTTGTGCTCCGTGAATTAGTCTGGTGTTGTCCTTGTGTCCGCAAGCTAGTGCAATTCGGCATACTCGTTTGCATCAGTACATAGGTTTTCCTGGCTATTTTAAAACGTTTATCATCATCGAATTCACCGTTTCTAATTTTAAAATTCGTACATCACCATCGACCTAGTGCACTTGCAATGTTTAATTTCGTCTTTTATCAGACAATTTCACATTCAGTTCAAGCAAATTCAAATTCTGAGCACACATTTTCGTCCCGGAGTATTCGATTTCGTCTGCCTATGCCAAACCTTGTTATTAAGAAATCGAATTCCACTAATATATCAGACGAATAGACCCTGAGACGTAATGACGTAATGGCTTTGTTTACGTGTTTTCTATGGGAACGAAGTCGGTACGCCAGATAAAGTGGGGACCGTCTACTACATAGGAAAGCGCATATATAAACAACGCGTGACGTCATTACGTCCCAGGCCTATTCGACATCTGAATGTTGCCATTCGGCAAAAGCTTAGACGAATTTGAATTATAATGACGAATATTCTCGACCCGCTGACTAATTATAAAGAGGGTGACCAAACTTTGAAATTGAATGGTTTTCCTAAATGACTAAATTGGTTTTGTTAAAAGCGTGTGAAATTTTCCTCGGGCGAAATTAAATGTTCGAGTTGGTGAATATGAATGAAAAATGTTTTCAAATAACCGGGAAAACCTAAACTTGCATTTTTCTGAGTTCATCATTGCAAGCTTTGTAGCATTTTGTGCTTGTAAAGTGACATAAATATTTTATGACGTCAGACTTCAATTTGCTCTGTTACCAACAACAGGTTACATTTGAAGGTATTTTGGGTGGTATGCACAGCGATATAGGACTGGATGACATATCAATTGGCATCTATGAGACAACACTACCAGGTACAATTCTATGCAAACTCTAAGTGTTGCCTAATAATGTATGCAGCTAGAGCTAAACTTAAATGAATGAAAATGAATAAATAATATTTAAATATTAAATGATTATTCGATTGGAAAGATTTGTTGGTGTTGAAAAGCTAACGATATATGCTCTCTAAATGTGTTTCGGTATTTGCGATGTATTTTTTAAAAAGCTGTGAAAATGAGGGGGCTTTGAGGATTTGGTTTTTGGGAGACACCCTGGAGAGAATTTGGCCAAATACAGCTTAATTACCGACTCCAAATAGTGCATCAACGACGTCTTGACCCAAGACTATATCTGATCGTCTCCGGTCTCAAGTTGCATTATTTTATCTGAAAGGAAAATAATTGAAATATGTTTCCTCGAGAGAAGACTACGAATACATGGCTAGTAACGTCTCCTGCTGATTGATGATATGTCAATTTGTTCTGACATTGTAACTATGTTTATGCATTTGATATCAGATCCTACAGTAGAGGTCACGCCGGACGTCACGCCAAGGCTCAGGCCTGCAGGTACAGTAGGCCTACTATACAATCTCGTGTTTCACTATACTCTCGAGGACAATGCTTTGTGTTTCCCTTTGTCCCTGTAATATAACACACTCCCATAGACTAAGCACACAAACCTACCACAGAGGACCGTTTTGAACAAAAGACCAAACTGCCGAGGACTGAAAGGATCTGTTGTTCTCCCTTTGTGTGTCGGTCCTCGGGGGTTATGTAGATCAAGTACACAGTCAGATAGCGAAATCCGCAAGCGCAAAAACGGGCGGTGGATCGCTTTTCAAACTGGGAAAAGGGCCAATTGCCCAGAAAAAGGGGCACTGCGCCTTGGTGTGAAAGTAACCTATATGACGAGGAAAAAAATAACGTCCTCCATCTTGCTCTTTGTGTTTCTTTTACATTGTTATGTAGAGATACCACTTTTTTTTATCGCGAGGGGGCACTGTTGCTTTTGATGACTAAGGATCATTTTCTTCGCGTGAAGAGCACTATTAGTTTTAGGGGCCAGTTTTCCATCTTGAGAGGGGGCACAATTTTAATGTTGCGAGCGGGGCACAAATTGTGCTTTCGAGGGGCAGTTTTCCATCTCGAGAAGTTATCGACAGAGGAGTACTTTTATTTTTGATGGCAGATTTTCCATATCATAAGGGGCACATTTCCCCCCCCCGAGTTTTTTGTATGAAAGATAGAAAGTTGAATACAATTGGACGGTTACAAAAACTGATAAGACGAAGGAAAGTCGTATGAGGTTCTGCTACATCACTTCATATGACCTGGAAATATGAACAATTTATAAATATAGTAATGATCAAAGATTGCTCGTTTTTTACATTCACAGATACATGGAGAACTATTGCCTGTGTGTCGTTAGCGCTCGTTGGATTAATGGCAATATGTGTTGCTGTTGCTGTTGTATACATATTCAAATTAAGGTTTGTCAGTTTGGAATTTTTTGGTCGCATTTTTCTGCAACGATTCTCCTATTACCAATCAATTATTAGTTTCGTTACAATATCCATTTAAAACCACGTATGATAATTTGAAGGTACAGTGAAACGCCGCTATAACGAATACCACTACAACGAACATTTGGTTATAACGAACGTCTACCCGAAATAAGTACCATCTATTTTAATGATGGAAGCCGTCCTCAAAGTGAAAACAGGACTCATATCCTGAACAATATATAGTATTCCGCCTTGAATGGTATCGTTTGTAAGACAACTAACATTAATGATGGTTTCAAAATAGGCTGCCCACCGGCACAAATTTCTCTGCTTGCTCAAAAAGTATAGTCACCTGATGAGCGAAAACTTCAACAATTAATTGGTAGGCCTATGCACCCTATTTAGATCTTGTTTGTTGCTTCTAACGAAGACAAATGCACGAAAAGCAAATGATCTTATGCACAATTTTGTGCCAAAGTCTTAGAGGTTTTGCATTCTTTGTCTTCCCATCGGTAATTCAACTTTAAATAAAAAAGTCTCGTAGTTTTTATTCTTGAGGGACATCCCACGTTTTTTGCCAGTATAAATTTAAATTATTGTTGAGTGGTTTTCTTTTTCATAGAAAGCGACTTGGTGACGCACAGTTTAAAGGTGGAAGTGGAAGAGCGCCCTCATCTCCACAATGTAATGTAGATCTGGAGCCCTCTGGCTATTTACCACTGAATGCAACTATCGACAAGACAGCAGATAAAGCAATCGGCTCCAATGCACAGCAAGATAGATACGGAGATCTGTATCTCCAACCAACAGTATCGCAACAACCAGGCAGGCATACGGTACATACAGAGAGACCAGAGCACATTTTCCTCAGATCACGTAAACTGTCTTGGAATAATGAAGATAAGGAAGGTATGGGTGATTGCGATTACGAGTATATGTGTACTGATTAGGGAAAGGTCATACTGAGAATAGAAACATTTTCAATTTGAATCTCTGGCTCCTGGGCGACGTTGGGATGAGCAAACGCGATGCTATTTTTGTATTCCTCCCGACCATGAAGCCCCCATCCCCTATTATCCTAGCTATTAGTATAACCTGCGTGAAGATGCCGACTACATTTGGTGTGTTCTTGCCAACGCCTAACTTGTGGAGCTGGTAACCGTGATGTACTTCATAGTAGGTCCTGTATTCCAACAAGTAGTACAAGAGTGAATTCATAGTTGTTGGTTCCGACGATTGATTAACAATTCACTGGTAGCACAGTCTAACAGTGAAACCGTTTCAACAAACCAACTAATTAACAAGAACGAGTGCCATAAATCTTAAGTACATCATGTAACAGTGTGATGACAATAGAACTTGCGCCCTCTAGTGGTGGCTGCAGCGCAATCAAATCATTGACGCCATAGTTTTGTCCCGTACATATTTTCACGAAATTTTGGGAAATCCGAAACGCACGGGAACATAAACATATCCCCACTCCTGCGTCCCGGGATGTCCCGGGGTGTCCCAAAATGCCCGGCAGTCCTGAATCTTGACAGGGTTAAGGACTTTTTAATGTACAAATTAGGTTAATATTGATTAGTTTTGAGACGGACGTTAATATCATAATATCGTTATACATGTAATTGTTTATTGATCACATACAGAATCTACTTAAGGATTTTGCAAAAATGTGAACTGACATTTCTCTCTTACACTGTACTTAACTAGTAACTTTTCACTTGTGTTTCGAGTAATACATATTAATCATCCGTAACATTTGTCTATAACAATTAAATAAAAAACTTTGCATTATGTATTAATTTGTTTGCCAATACAATGATATTTATCATGATGAGAAGAAACCAAAACTAGCGTCATCAAACTTACTTTACCAAATTGTATAGCGACGAAAGAAATGACACATACTGGTCAAGGGCGGATCAAGAACACATTTTTTTTTGGGGGGGGCCTAAAAAAATGTTGGTCCCCAAAAAGCCGGTCCCAAAAATTACGGTGTGGGGTTTGGGGCCCGCTTAAGGGCCCCGAAAATTGTTTGGATTCTAGATGCTCTGTGGTGCGATCTGAGGCAATTTCTGATCACTTTAACCTTTAATGCGACGTCACTTAAAAACAAAAAACAAATTGGGTTCGGTTTTTTTTTGGGGGGGGGGGCATGGCCCCCGTTGGCCCCCCTGGATCCGCCCTTTACACTGGTTGTCAGATTGAGCACTTAATTATTAATAACGAACCAAACTTTTAAGATTGAACAACAATGACTTACATGGAATCATTCAAAATGTAACCCAGAAGAGGCCTGACACACATTGTAAGTCTGACACGTTTTGCACAAAATATCGTCTCGATGTGCACACAGTACGGTTCTTTCCGAGTTCACAATTATATTTGCAGTCAGACGTGTATTTAATTATTTGAAACGTCGTTTCAGAAAACTATTTCTAATAAATAACATATCAGTTTAAGAAGAGAAACCAATAGCAGAAATTGGAGGTGAACCAGGTGGTCATAATCTGGCTCATCCACAACTTAATAACAATCATTGATACCCGAAGCCTAGAACACCTCAAATTTCAATCAGCAATCTACTACGATGTTTTATGTTATCCTTCGTTGTTAATTATATTCATAACTGTTGCTTACAGTGTTAGCAATAAAGTAGAGAAAGCCAAATTATGTATAACAAAAGTAAGTAATTACAAATCAAGAGAAGGAAAATGCGTTGATGATTAATAATATATATCACATTTCTTTACTACAAACTTGCATGGAATCATCTCGATCCTTAATGTAACTGTGTCAAATGCGATTTGTGTTACATTTGTGTTACATTTGATTTAGCTGTAAGTTGAGTTTTTAAGATACACCTTTAATTCTTTTGTGTTGACGCAGCATACCTTTTGTGTAGCGCCCTCAGCGGTTCTGCCCTGTTAAAATATTTTCGCGTGCTTCGTTTGATTACCCTTGTCGTGCGAAGACCTTATACAATATGTATACGTTGCAGATAGTGACTATTAAATTTATTTCCATTACTTACTTAACTGTACTTTAACAACTTTAGTTTGGGTATACATGTACAATTATGATCTAAGAATAAGTTCATCATGTCGATATTGATTTAGAGAAATAGTTATTGTGCTCGGTAGACTAAGATCACCGATGAGTCCATTCGAAAGTCTCAAGTCCGACATCTATACAGTTTATAGTGTCAGATTATACTTTATTCCCACTTTCCTTTTAGCGTCTAATTTAATTAACTTTAAGTTTGATGTTCCTTAGTTCGTTAGAATTACATTATCATTACTTTGTTTGATTTACTCGGGGCAAATACAAGATGGCGGTCCCAGGAACAGTTTTGGCGGGAACCTTAAGTTCTGATTAACATTCATATTAATTCAACCTGCTTGTAGTTAGTGTCTCAATTACGTTACTAAATTATTTATTTAAAAGTCTAAACATTGTTTCATTTTATTTCTGATTTAATTACCCTTGTCGTGCGAACACCTGGTTATGTCTTCGGCTTGCAGTAGAATTGAATAATTTGCCGTTTCCTCAATATTGCCTGTTTAAACTGACTCGATCGTCACATAACCGTGTAGGCTACAATAATAAGACGGCTGAGGAATTGTCCACTTCAGATTTTTTCTTCAATAAATATGCTATGATAGTGTTCTTAACAGCTTCTATATTTTTGCTATATGAACACCCTTTGTATTGTAACTTTTTTTACAGCGAGAATGTTGACAGAGTGAACTTGTTTAGTGACAGTCTTCACATTTAAATAAAACAGAACAAGACCTAAAATACAGGCTCTAACTGAAATGGATTACTTTTGTGATAATCTCTGCAACTGCTGTATCTAAGGTGGAAGTGTCCAAAAACAAAATGACATGGTAAAGTAGCGGTTTTGTCATTTTTTTGTACCAACTCCACTGCTTATGAGGAGAAAATCGTGGTAAAAAAATACAATGTTTAAATATTTTGGCCAATTACAGAAATAACAAGTCTTTGACTACTCTACTAAGGAACAAAAGTTAAGTAGGCCTATCAATAAAAAGTCAAGAAATTCATTACAATTATAACGGTCAACACTAACAACACGAAGCATGCTGACGTTTAAACACGAAAAATACACAAAGAGTTACCAGAAAAGTTCGATCAGCAAATATACTAAAAGTCCTTTCAGCAAAGGTTCAACATACATGCCAAGTTGTACACTTTACATACATTACACGTAATATAAGCGGTAGAAAGTTGAATTTTTTTTTATTATTGGCGATTTAAAAAAGTGATACCACCAGTTATTGGCATCTGAAAAGTAGAACGTTGATGTATACAAATCAACCAATCATTTGAGAAGGATTTATTCAGGTGTTTTATAAAACAAAAAGTGAAAGTTTCACATTCGTGCAACGGTATAATTTCATTCTATGACAGATGGAATGTTCCATTCCACTTGGCCACCTCGTGAATATGTCACCGCATGAAATCATTCTTACTTCTGCACTCACCAACATTCATTATTTGTATATTTAACCTCAGAAACTGTCAAGTTACGAAACTATGGAACGCTCTTAAGGCAACCGACCTGCTCTGGTAATAATCAAAACGAGTAAATGCTCGGTGATTGTTTTTACTTCAAAGCTCTCTCGAGAGGATCAAGTCGGTTAACATACAGAAACATTATCTGGCTTGCACGCCAGTTTACAAGTAATGCATGAGCAACTTTTCACTTTTTGATATAATGATCATTTCGAACTTAAAACTATTAGTTTACACCGAATTTTAACAATTTGAATTTCAGTGTCTGTCAACAACTTATGTCAATGCACATAGCGGACTCCACCACTTCAAACTCGTTCATCCTGTGGTGTAATATGCTGTATAGTCGACGCTTAAAACTCCTTGATTCCTATTATGTCCTGGACAAGACTGAGTAGGGATTTGCAGAGTCTCATGGCATCCTCTACACTGAAGCCTTGATATGCCTGTCCACTAGTTTGTGAGCTCCAACTCACTGGGTAGCGCGGCTTGTCGTAAAGACACTCATGACGTTCTAAATCACTCGCGATGTTTATCAACTCAGTTGAGGTCACATAACGGTGGCCGCAGACTATGCTTGCCAAACCGGTCAGACTGTTACTGTGAGTATCGGGGCGTCCGGTGAGGTTGTACTGAGCTGCCTTTAGAGCCACTTCGGCTGCTTGGTGGACCTGGAAGGCAGTCCACTGTACTTGGGATGGTCCGAGTCGACTCGTCTTCTCAGCAGCGTTAAAGTGTTCCCTGGCCTGCCGGAACCACAGTCGTGCACTGCGTGGGTCTGGAGTCTCTTTCGAAAAGGAGGGTGGGACATTGCTGCACCTTGCCTTGTTCCGTCTCCACCTTCGACTTTGGTTATGCATCTGTTGATATCTGCTGGCTTCCTCCCTGTCTCTACTAACCTCCGACTCCCAACAAGAGTAGTTCTGTCTGTACTGGTCTGTCGCATCACAGCGGTTTATCTCCTGTATTAGGAACTGAAAAGCCTTGTTTGTACGCTCCTCCTGGCCTGGGTTCATATCGGGATGCCACTTCCGATATAGACGGTGGATAACCATCTTCTGCTCTTCTTTTGTTAATGCCATGGCTTCTCTTACCTCCCTCTGAATCTGTTCTATGTCATTTTGAGGGTCTGCCGGAAGGGTACTATCTGACAACCCTTCGTCATCCTCGTCCTTTTGACTCAGAAATTTGAAAAGCGTTGTCACACTCACGATGACATGCTCTTTTAGACCAACATCGATTTTATACTGCCTCGACAAGATACTATCCTCATCATCCGTGCCGACCTGACCAACAATTACGGCATATATAACCTCAGTTGCTTCGTCTGTTGATAAAGCATGCGATGATGCCCGCCTTCCTTTACTCCGCGTAGCAACTGCATCTTTTGGAGGCAACTCACCTATGGTTCTTCTGTAACCAACGATCTCACCCTCTTCGAAACGGTTGAATGGGTCATCGTTAAGTAGAGTACGTACATCACGGGGTATGATTGTTCCTGGTCTATGTCTCTGAGTCTGGAATCCCATTAATTCTTCAGTATAGTAAGGAATATTGTTTGATGACAAAACATCGTTCATCTCAAAGGGATTTTGGCTGTCCAATGCACTCTGCAGGATAGCTACGTGTGCATTGTTCAACAAACCACCAAGCAGGCCATTGCAACATTCTGCGACTTCCCGAAATATTTGACTTGTGTGCTTGTCCAAAGGCCACACGTGTCCCAGATAAAATGTATTCGTGTTTTTGTCCAAGAATGCTTTTCGTGGAAACGGTTTGTTTGTTACTTTTCTGCCGTTGTTGTCGTAGAACCCAAGCACTAGTCTTACCTGGCAGGAAAGTTCGTTGAAATGTTGCAAGGTTTCAATGCGTTTTACATCCTCCTCGGGTATTTCCGTTTCCTTCAGTTGGTGTTGATAAAGTCTCAGCAACACTTCCGTCATCTCTTCAGAGGTCAACATCCGCTTGATGTGTGTCAAGTATCGACACTCTTGTCCCTCCCTGCAGTCTTCGTTGGTGTCACACGGCTTCTCCTGCAATTCATCCTTTAGGAATTTAGGACGGAGTCTGCTTGGGAGGAAGCTGAATAGAGCTATTTCATTTTTGCATCTGAATCCACACTCTCGTAGAGGAAGGATGAACGCCCTACCGCCAGAGGAAGCCGTGTCTAATTGCTGCATTTGGTCTGGATCTGCATAATACAGTTGAGGTGCCTCCCTCAGGCTATATTCTAGCGTAGGTAGATAAAGCTTGGAGACTGAAATTTGACATCTCTCTTTCTTGTCGTAGAGTAATTCTAAAATGCCCTTCACAGCACATTTGGCAGTTTTTTGTTGATTCGGATTCAACTTGTTTGTCTCTTTCTCACAATCGTTCTCTAGGGCTGCCAAAACTCCAGCAAGTTGGTCAAAGGAACACTTCTCTTGGGCTCCAA